AAAAATAGCCCACCGAGTATATCTACTAATAGTCTTTGTTCATATTAACATCTCGATGGTCACAATTAAAAAAGAAAAGCAATAGAAAGTGAGGAGAAACTAAAGGACAATGGAGATGAATAGGAAGAGTAGAAATCTCACTTCAGCTCGGGTGATTCAATGGACCGACACCCTAAAATAATCTTTAGACACCAAGCCCCCCGCATTTTCGGTTTGTGAAATGCTCACTGCTTGCAAGTTGAACATATCTTATCTTATCCGAGTCCTCTCCCCAGACTTTATACTCCCAAGTCCCAAGAACAATGATATTGCCAAAAAAATAAAAAAATAAGAAATAATTCAACACTTTACTGGACCATGGAAGAGCATTTTCTTCTCATCACTGTTGCCCGACTCTTTTGTATTGGTGTGTGTGTCCGGCATTCTTCTTTCTCCAATCCTTGAACCGGTGGGTCATCTTCTTCTGATTTAAGAGGTTCAACTCAAGGCTCAATGACATTCCAAAGGTCTTGAGCCAACAAGTAATACTCAAAAGTAATTAGGGTTTAAATTCATATCTTTATTCTTCTTTCAAGGAGCGATATATGACAGGACCCGCCCCGAATTTCCCGAAACCCGAGACGAACCCTGCGGAGACCCCGGCATCACACCCACGCCGGGTTCACTCCTTAAAACTATGTCCTCTTTTACCAGAGAGGGCTTAGGGCACGAGACTTTCTGCCAAAATTTCGGCAGAGTCTCCCCTGTAAATTGAACATTCCCCAAAATTTCTACCTGCATAAAACTCATTTTATAACCCAACCAGCAGCACGCACAATATACTCTCATGCAATTTACATAAATGGCCTCCGGCCTTCAAATGATTCTAACGAACTGCCCACACTGTTTTCAAAATAACTTAATGCATCACACATGCATATAACCAATTCAAAATCCATCCATACACACCTTCACTCACTCAGTCCATCGGACAAGCCTCAATTCAACCAAGTTTCGGGACCAACCACGAGGTCCGCATCATACTCGATAAAACCACCTAAGTGGTGTCTAGGTCGTGGCTGCACCTAGGCGCTATCCCAGGCTGCCTACGTACCCTACTAAGGGATCAAGCCACACGTAGCTCTTTCCTATCAATCCTGGCTCCTGACATCAATTAAATCATTACGGCCATACAAATTCATACATTCTAGGATTTATCCATCACAACACACCAAACATAATCACATAGCTCCCACTCATACGTCGGGACGCACCCGGCCACGTACGGGGTCTGTCAACACGCCGGCTAACCCAAAGACGCGTGCGACCTCACACTGGGCCTGGCTACATTCTCACCAGCCATCATACCATCATATCTCCCACTCATACGTCGGGACGCACCCGGCCACGTACGGGGTCTGTCAACACGCCGGCTAACCCAAAGACGCGTGCGACCTCACACTGGGCCTGGCTACATTCTCACCAGCCCTTATACCATCATATCACCCACTCATACGTCGGGACGTACCCGGCCACGTACGGGGCCTGTCAACACGCCGGCTAACCCAAAGACGCGTGCGACCTCACACTGGGCCTGGCTACATTCTCACCAGCCCTTATACCATCATAACACCCACTCATACGTCGGGACGTACCCGGCCACGTACGGGGCCTGTCAACACGCCGGCTAACCCAAAGACGCGTGCGACCTCACACTGGGCCTGGCTACATTCTCACCAGCCCTTATACCATCATATCACCCATCATACGTCGGGACGTACCGGCCACGTACGGGGCCTGTAACACGCGGCTAACCCAAAGACGCGTGCGACCTCACACTGGGCCTGGCTACATTCTCACCAGCCCTTATACCATCATATCACCCACTCATACGTCGGGACGTACCCGGCCACGTACGGGGCCTGTCAACACGCCGGCTAACCCAAAGACGCGTGCGACCTCACACTGGGCCTGGCTACATTCTCACCAGCCCTTATACCATCATATCACCCACTCATACGTCGGGACGTACCCGGCCACGTACGGGGCCTGTCAACACGCCGGCTAACCCAAAGACGCGTGCGACCTCACACTGGGCCTGGCTACATTCTCACCAGCCCTTATACCATCATATCACCCACTCATACGTCGGGACGTACCCGGCCACGTACGGGGCCTGTCAACACGCCGGCTAACCCAAAGACGCGTGCGACCTCACACTGGGCCTGGCTACATTCTCACCAGCCCTTATACCATCATATCACCCACTCATACGTCGGGACGTACCCGGCCACGTACGGGGCCTGTCAACACGCCGGCTAACCCAAAGACGCGTGCGACCTCACACTGGGCCTGGCTACATTCTCACCAGCCCTTATACCATCATATCACCCACTCATACGTCGGGACGTACCCGGCCACGTACGGGGCCTGTCAACACGCCGGCTAACCCAAAGACGCGTGCGACCTCACACTGGGCCTGGTCTACATTCTCATCCAGCCCTTATACCATCATATCACCCATCATACGTCGGGACGTACCGGCCACGTACGGGGCCTGTCACACGCCGGCTAACCCAAACCTTCGTGCGACCTCACACTGGGCCTGGCTACATTCTCACCAGCCCTTATACCATCATATCACCCACTCATACGTCGGGACGTACCCGGCCACGTACGGGGCCTGTCAACACGCCGGCTAACCCAAAGACGCGTGCGACCTCACACTGGGCCTGGCTACATTCTCACCAGCCCTTATACCATCATATCACCCACTCATACGTCGGGACGTACCCGGCCACGTACGGGGCCTGTCAACACGCCGGCTAACCCAAAGACGCGTGCGACCTCACACTGGGCCTGGCTACATTCTCACCAGCCCTTATACCATCATATCACCCACTCATACGTCGGGACGTACCCGGCCACGTACGGGGCCTGTCAACACGCCGGCTAACCCAAAGACGCGTGCGACCTCACACTATCATTTGGGCCTGAGCATAATCACAATATGAGGGGTACGTGGGGTAGTGCGTATAGCACTGTAAACTAATATTCAATCACTTTATATATCATTAAACATCCACACAATCAATTAAATAAATCATACAATAACATCAACCAATAAAACATTCCATAAACTCCCACATTTAAATTCACCAATTTATATCCTAAACCCACAATATCCATTTAACTCAACAACGCTCAAGACCTGTCACTAAGGTCATCCTAACCCTCAAGGAAAGGTAAGACTATCTCGGGAGTCTCACGGTCAACCTAGGGTCAAACGGGCCTGCGGGGCCCACAACCTCCAAACTCCAATCCGAAAGTTCCTATAGGTTCTATAGGCTCTAGGACACATGTCCTGCAAGTTTGGTCCAGATCGGACGGTCGGATTGCTCACGATCACACAATCGAACAGTTACTAAAACCCTAACCCCAGGGTTGGCATTTCCGGAGTATCCGGGACTCCGTTTTACGATCCGTCGAATCCTACACGATCCTGGTAATACTTAGATCAACATAATATAACTTCAGGACCATCCAACGGTCTAAACCTAGCGAACCCGGAAAATACGCGATATGCGATATCTGCTCGGGACTCTAACGATATCCAAAATGAGATCCGAGCACACCTACGCGCTCGTGACATCGAGAGGATCATAATGGGACAAAAATGCCCCTCAGCTACAGTGCCCACGCGCCATCACACGCGCCGGCAGCGCGTGGGTGTCCAAAGCGATACCCATCGCCGGAAAACTTCCAAATCGTGAGCCCAGACTCCTACCCTAGGTAATACACCTAATTTGGAGTCACTTTTGTTCTTGGGCTTACCCCCAAAAATTGACCGGACGTGGCCGGAATCGCGATCGCAAAACCGGCCGAATTTCAATCCGTAGATCGAGCTACTTAGCCTCAAAATTTATGAAATCCTACCCAACCATCAGCTAGAGCTCGGAAAATAGGTGAGAAACCATACCTCACTTGCCGGAATCGGTGGCCGGACGACGGAGAACGAAGCCGGCGAAGTTTCAGGCGAAACCGGATGGTTTTCTTCGATTTTCCGGCGAAATCCCGGCGGCTGGCGGTGAGACCCGGCTGGGGTAGGAAGAGGACGGCGGCCCGGTCATTTTGGTACCGGCCCCGTCGACTTTGGTGGCCGGACGAGCGAACGGCCGGCCAAAACGTGGTCGGCCACGGTGGCTGTCGCGAACCAGAGGAGAGAGAGAGCGACGCGCGGGAGAGAGAGAGTGTGTGTGAGAGACGGGGGCAATTCCGTCTTTTAACCAAAAATCCCACTTCAAAATATTTACGATTATGCCACTGAGCTTCTTTTGATCATATCTCTCTCGTTACAACTCCGATTCGAGCCCACTACATGTCTACGAACTCATCTCGCCGTGCTCTACGCAACGGTACATCCGGAATTCCCAAATTCCTTCCGGGCAAGAAAATGACTAAAATACCCCTATCCCACGGGTAATTTCTCAATTCCACTTAAATAAATTAAAACATGGGATAATTTGGGGTCGGGGTGTTACATACTACCCCCCTTATAAAAATTTCGTCCCCGAAATTTCATACCTGCCACTTCAAAGGGTGTGGGTACTGGGCCCGCATCTACTGCTCGGGTTCCCATGCTTCATCCTCCACAACCAAGTTGGCAGCCAAGTCATTCCATTTGTGATTTGATTCTCTTCTAGCTCTCCCACGAAGAGAAGTCCAAACTCCTTGACTTGTTGATATCTTCCTTCTTTCTTTAGAATCGATAAGCAACATTGCCAACACGATTCTTTGAGAGGAATGTCAGAAAGGGTCATTTTTACCGAATTGTAATCATCATCTTCCTCTCTCTACCATGACCCATTTCTGATTCGAATGAAAGATTTCTGCTCAAACGTGCTCACTGCACACAATCGAGAATTAGCAACATGAGGTTCCACTCCTGTCAATCGCGGCATTCAAGCCCACGCGAGTGAAGTGATACTTCATCCAACACTGTTACTTCTCAACTTAATTTGTCACGACCCTCCTTGGTCGGACTCACAACTCTTCCATTCCCTTGTAACTTGTCCATCAACTTCCTCTGACAATTTCATCTCATCGGATTCAATATTTTCAGCTCCTCCATTTCCTTCCATAGGATATTGAGATGCGACAATTTGGATAGACACGTTTCTAGGAACGTGACACCCTTAAGTGTACTCATCAATACCCTAAATCCATTCCTGTCAAAGAGTCCTCCGCGTCAAAATGATGACGTCTCGTGACGGAACCCATCATGATCCCACAACTTAAAGATGCACACAAGGTGCGGAGTCCACAAGAAATTGAACCTAAGCTCTGATACCAAGCTGACAGGACCCGCCCCGAATTTCCCGAAACCCGAGACGAACCCTGCGGAGACCCCGGCATCACACCCACGCCGGGTTCACTCCTTAAAACTATGTCCTCTTTTACCAGAGAGGGATTAGGGCACGAGACTTTCTGCCAAAATTTCGGCAGAGTCTCCCCTGTAAATTGAACATTCCCCAAAATTTCCACCTGCATAAAACTCATTTTATAACCCAACCAGCAGCACGCACAATATACTCTCATGCAATTTACATAAATGGCCTCCGGCCTTCAAATGATTCTAACGAACTGCCCACACTGTTTTCAAAATAACTTAATGCATCACACATGCATATAACCAATTCAAAATCCATCCATACACACCTTCACTCACTCAGTCCATCGGACAAGCCTCAATTCAACCAAGTTTCGGGACCAACCACGAGGTCCGCATCATACTCGATAAAACCACCTAAGTGGTGTCTAGGTCGTGGCTGCACCTAGGCGCTATCCCAGGCTGCCTACGTACCCTACTAAGGGATCAAGCCACACGTAGCTCTTTCCTATCAATCCTGGCTCCTGACATCAATTAAATCATTACGGCCATACAAATTCATACATTCTAGGATTTATCCATCACAACACACCAAACATAATCACATAGCTCCCACTCATACGTCGGGACGCACCCGGCCACGTACGGGGTCTGTCAACACGCCGGCTAACCCAAAGACGCGTGCGACCTCACACTGGGCCTGGCTACATTCTCACCAGCCATCATACCATCATATCTCCCACTCATACGTCGGGACGCACCCGGCCACGTACGGGGTCTGTCAACACGCCGGCTAACCCAAAGACGCGTGCGACCTCACACTGGGCCTGGCTACATTCTCACCAGCCCTTATACCATCATATCACCCACTCATACGTCGGGACGTACCCGGCCACGTACGGGGCCTGTCAACACGCCGGCTAACCCAAAGACGCGTGCGACCTCACACTGGGCCTGGCTACATTCTCACCAGCCCTTATACCATCATATCACCCACTCATACGTCGGGACGTACCCGGCCACGTACGGGGCCTGTCAACACGCCGGCTAACCCAAAGACGCGTGCGACCTCACAACTGGGCCTGGCTACATTCTCACCAGCCCTTATACCATCATATCACCCATCATACGTCGGGACGTACCGGCCACGTACGGGGCCTGTAACACGCGGCTAACCCAAAGACGCGTGCGACCTCACACTGGGCCTGGCTACATTCTCACCAGCCCTTATACCATCATATCACCCACTCATACGTCGGGACGTACCCGGCCACGTACGGGGCCTGTCAACACGCCGGCTAACCCAAAGACGCGTGCGACCTCACACTGGGCCTGGCTACATTCTCACCAGCCCTTATACCATCATATCACCCACTCATACGTCGGGACGTACCCGGCCACGTACGGGGCCTGTCAACACGCCGGCTAACCCAAAGACGCGTGCGACCTCACACTGGGCCTGGCTACATTCTCACCAGCCCTTATACCATCATATCACCCACTCATACGTCGGGACGTACCCGGCCACGTACGGGGCCTGTCAACACGCCGGCTAACCCAAAGACGCGTGCGACCTCACACTGGGCCTGGCTACATTCTCACCAGCCCTTATACCATCATATCACCCACTCATACGTCGGGACGTACCCGGCCACGTACGGGGCCTGTCAACACGCCGGCTAACCCAAAGACGCGTGCGACCTCACACTGGGCCTGGCTACATTCTCACCAGCCCTTATACCATCATATCACCCACTCATACGTCGGGACGTACCCGGCCACGTACGGGGCCTGTCAACACGCCGGCTAACCCAAAGACGCGTGCGACCTCACACTGGGCCTGGTCTACATTCTCATCCAGCCCTTATACCATCATATCACCCATCATACGTCGGGACGTACCGGCCACGTACGGGGCCTGAAAACTCCGGATAACCCAAAGGACGCCTTTTTTTTGTTTTGCGACCTCACACTGGGCCTGGCTACATTCTCACCAGCCCTTATACCATCATATCACCCACTCATACGTCGGGACGTACCCGGCCACGTACGGGGCCTGTCAACACGCCGGCTAACCCAAAGACGCGTGCGACCTCACACTGGGCCTGGCTACATTCTCACCAGCCCTTATACCATCATATCACCCACTCATACGTCGGGACGTACCCGGCCACGTACGGGGCCTGTCAACACGCCGGCTAACCCAAAGACGCGTGCGACCTCACACTGGGCCTGGCTACATTCTCACCAGCCCTTATACCATCATATCACCCACTCATACGTCGGGACGTACCCGGCCACGTACGGGGCCTGTCAACACGCCGGCTAACCCAAAGACGCGTGCGACCTCACACTATCATTGGGCCTGAGCATAATCACAATATGAGGGGTACGTGGGGTAGTGCGTATAGCACTGTAAACTAATATTCAATCACTTTATATATCATTAAACATCCACACAATCAATTAAATAAATCATACAATAACATCAACCAATAAAACATTCCATAAACTCCCACATTTAAATTCACCAATTTATATCCTAAACCCACAATATCCATTTAACTCAACAACGCTCAAGACCTGTCACTAAGGTCATCCTAACCCTCAAGGAAAGGTAAGACTATCTCGGGAGTCTCACGGTCAACCTAGGGTCAAACGGGCCTGCGGGGCCCACAACCTCCAAACTCCAATCCGAAAGTTCCTATAGGTTCTATAGGCTCTAGGACACATGTCCTGCAAGTTTGGTCCAGATCGGACGGTCGGATTGCTCACGATCACACAATCGAACAGTTACTAAAACCCTAACCCCAGGGTTGGCATTTCCGGAGTATCCGGGACTCCGTTTTACGATCCGTCGAATCCTACACGATCCTGGTAATACTTAGATCAACATAATATAACTTCAGGACCATCCAACGGTCTAAACCTAGCGAACCCGGAAAATACGCGATATGCGATATCTGCTCGGGACTCTAACGATATCCAAAATGAGATCCGAGCACACCTACGCGCTCGTGACATCGAGAGGATCATAATGGGACAAAAATGCCCCTCAGCTACAGTGCCCACGCGCCATCACACGCGCCGGCAGCGCGTGGGTGTCCAAAGCGATACCCATCGCCGGAAAACTTCCAAATCGTGAGCCCAGACTCCTACCCTAGGTAATACACCTAATTTGGAGTCACTTTTGTTCTTGGGCTTACCCCAAAAATTGACCGGACGTGGCCGGAATCGCGATCGCAAAACCGGCCGAATTTCAATCCGTAGATCGAGCTACTTAGCCTCAAAATTTATGAAATCCTACCCAACCATCAGCTAGAGCTCGGAAAATAGGTGAGAAACCATACCTCACTTGCCGGAATCGGTGGCCGGACGACGGAGAACGAAGCCGGCGAAGTTTCAGGCGAAACCGGATGGTTTTCTCTTCGATTTTCCGGCGAAATCCCGGCGGCTGGCGGTGAGACCCGGCTGGGGTAGGAAGAGGACGGCGGCCCGGTCATTTTGGTACCGGCCCCGTCGACTTTGGTGGCCGGACGAGCGAACGGCCGGCCAAAACGTGGTCGGCCACGGTGGCTGTCGCGAACCAGAGGAGAGAGAGAGCGACGCGCGGGAGAGAGAGAGTGTGTGTGAGAGACGGGGGCAATTCCGTCTTTTAACCAAAAATCCCACTTCAAAATATTTACGATTATGCCACTGAGCTTCTTTTGATCATATCTCTCTCGTTACAACTCCGATTCGAGCCCACTACATGTCTACGAACTCATCTCGCCGTGCTCTACGCAACGGTACATCCGGAATTCCCAAATTCCTTCCGGGCAAGAAAATGACTAAAATACCCCTATCCCACGGGTAATTTCTCAATTCCACTTAAATAAATTAAAACATGGGATAATTTGGGGTCGGGGTGTTACAATATATATATATATATATATATATATATACACACTACATTATAGTGGGTTTAAATAGGAAATATATACAAAATCTCCCAATTATACTCAAATTAGATAATTACAATAAAATACAAATTCTTTAGTAGGTGAATGCATAACTTAGTAACAAATGCTTATGACATAGGCAATATCAGGGCGTGTCAGTGATAAATAGATCAATCTCGCAACCAACCTTTGATATCTTTCTTTGTTAGTTGGGACTTTATCCACGTAAACTCCAAGTTTATGATTCTCAAAAATAGGTGTATCAGCTGGTTTATAGTCAAGCATCCCAATATCTGCTAGCAGGTCCAGCATGAAACTTAAAGTGGAGCCTCACATAATCTAATACGAAAATACTATAGATAAAAATTTGCCATAACTTAATGTCATAAACAATTTTTTTTTAAACTAAAAGTCACCATCAATACAAATGTAATAACAATTAGAAATCAAATTCATAAAAATTAAATGTTTCCATTTGATAAAGTTAAATATTAGTATGTTTGGAACAAAAATAAGCTCATTGTGCCCCTATAAGCTCCCTTGCTGCCTCTAATAAGCAATCTGTGTTTAATATGAAAAAAAATTTGGCAATCACAAATTAAAGAGTAGTTGCACACAAATGTTATTAACAAATTAGATTATATTGCATTAAACACAAAAGCAACAACAAAAACATACATGACTATCCACAAATTGTTCACATTGTATTTGTTGTCTTTATTTGAAGAATTAAAACTATTATGAGAACTTTTTCCCCAAAAAAACAAAACAAAAACACAACCAGTACAATACTAATGTCTGAAAATTGATCTTCTTGAATTTTTAGAAGAGAGATCATCAATCAAATGTTCATAATCAAGTTTTTCTAGAAGTTCACTTTCAATTGAAATCAAAACTGGTCCATTTAATTTTTCTTGCAACATATTTGATTGCAAGTATGATTTTAACAATTTTAATTTTGAAAAACTTCTTTTCTGCAGATGCAACAGTAACAGGAATAGCCAATAGAATTCTATATGCAATGAATGCATTCGGAAAACAATTTAATCTTTTCAAGAAATTTAATATTGCAGTAGCTGTGATTTTTTCTTTTAGATTGATATATTGTAAATTTTGAAACATATTAGGGGACACACTTAGAACCACACTTTTTAACACACCATTTAAATTATCGAATTAAGTAAGTTTCAATGATTAGAATTGCATTTGTTTAATGGGCAATCCTTTTCTTTGTCACATCATTCAAATTTAAAAATAAACATTGGGGACAACCTAGCAGCCCAACTTTTAAGACTATTAATTATTTTATTATATTCTCTCTCCCCTCTCTTCCTTTTTTTGTTTAATGGGCAATCCTTTTATTTCATCTTCTATCTTCTTTCCCGCTACTTTCTCTGGCTATATTTTACAGTAGTTTACACACACTCACACCCTCAAAACGTTTCCAACGAATTCCTTATTGAAAAAAGTTTTGTAGTTTATTTTCCTTCTTCATAACGTTTGGTCATGGTTGCTGGAAAAATGCTAATAATATTAGCGTCCATGAAATTTAATGATTTCAAACAGTGAAAGAAATATAGATTTTCCCTAAAGTGACTCAACTCAACAATAGTGAATGGAGGTCGGGAACCACCAAACACTGATTTGGGCATGAAATGAATTAGACTTTGAGTAAAGAATGACTTGTTAATTGTCAGTCTTTGTTTAATAAGCATTTGTCTAAGTCTTTGTTCACATATTTTTCGTAACAAAACATATTTTTAAAATCCGAATTGATACACAATACTCAAAAAGTACTTGACGCAAAGAGCAAACAAAAGACTGAAATTTCAAATTATTAAGGTATCATTGTCGATGATGGTAGGTATTAGGTAAAGTGCAACAAAATAAAAGGATTCGTTAATTTATAGGACTAACTCGTCAAAAACCAATATGTCTAAACCCCAGCCCCTTTGAGTCCAAGAAAGCCCGACCGGCCTATAAAAGCCTGACTTACGGGCTCACATACATATAAATAAATAATATATATATATATATATATATATAACTCAAGTTAAATGAAATATGGAGAAAATCATTATCTATTATCATTGTAAGAACTGAAAAAAAAATGAAGTATAAGATAAAATATGATTTTATTAATATGGGGTTGTATAACTATATCTTTATATTTATGGGGGGAAAAAAAAGAAGAAAACTATGAAGTTATGAACAAAGAAAAAAAAAGGAGACATAAACATATAAACAAATGTAAATATAGAACTATGAAAAAGAGAGGAAACATAGAAACACATCAAAACATAGAAAAAAATACATATTAAAAAAAAAGACAAAATAAAGCCCATTTAGGCCTAGCCGGCTTGATGGGCTTTTTCAAGCCCGGCCGATTAGCTAGGCTTGGACTTTGAATTTTCAAAAAAAATCCGGCCCAGAACATTATTTTCTCTCTCCTCTTTAAAGTCCAACCCGACCCGGCCCATTTACGAGGCCTACTCCTCACAAGAACTTCTTACTGTCACTTAACTTCTTGACTTCTTAATTGATTACATTAATAAGTTTCATGCCCACTTATAAAAGTAGTAACCGACTTATGTAAGTCGGCTTTATATAGTTAGCCCACCTTGAAAGAACATCCCAGCCACAAGTTAAACCGACCTTGAAAATATCTTAAAGGTTCTAGGAATTGTTTAGGCTGTTTGGTGTTGCTTACTTTGCGGGGTAGACTTCACTTGAGCATTCTAGATTTTTCTAGTTTTATTTGTGCATTATTATTTCTATGGGCTTGAATTTTACTTTTCTGGGCTAATTAATATGTTTGTGGGCTGGGGTTGATATTTTAACACTAATCTCCTTAATCAAGGAAAAAGCATCAGGCCCGCACGAAATTTGGATTGCGTGTAAAGCCTTGGAAGTCTTCTTTCTCCAAGCCTCGAAGTGACAAGCGTTTTTTGGTTTAGGACGTTCAGCTGTACCCTACACTACATCCCACAGACCTCTAGCCAACAAGTAATTTTTAACCAATGCACTCCAGTACTCATAGTTATCTTCGTTAAGAACTTCCACAACAATTGCATCGGCAGGAACCACAGGTTGCACCATTCTAAACGGCTTGCTATTTTTTTTGTTTTTATATTTAGGTCTCGGATAAAAGTTTACGACTCAAAAGAGTAAAGGATCTCATCTTAAAGTAGCGTTGGAAGTATCACGAGTATACTAATATTCCATCTATTACTTATACCCGTTTACTCTTTTTATATTTGAGTCTTGTTGTAAAATTCCCCACTACACCATTTAACCATTTAATGGTTTCCGAATTAATTTTCTTTATACGAGCATGCCACTGTTGGCAGATGATAAAATACTGTTGGGGTGAGTGCATTGGTGTATTAAGAATCAGGCCTTTTCTTTTCAAGCATTCTTTAAGTACTTACATTCCTTATTCTTTTTCTTTTTCTTTTATATATATCTGGAAGTACCACCAATAGGAAAAATAACAAATCAGAATCAGCTTAAGTTTTTCAATAGGAAGATTATACATTACCAATAGGGTACAGAGGTTTTACCATGGTGGCGCCTTTCACTTGTTCTTTTCGTTGCTCGATCTTTGTATGTAGCGGGCAGAGCCCAAAACAAAGTCAAACAAGTTCAAGACTTGATCCCAAATTCTTTTCTCACACGCTTATCTTCACCAAGAATCACAACATATTATCAGGGATACAAGCTTCTTAGAAGTTACAACATTATGAAAGTTATACATTACCACTTACACGTACCATCAAAAGTTAAGTCCATGATTTCACATTCCTATCAAATATTCCAGAAGAATTTATGCCCTTGATTTCACTTTCCTGTCAAATATTCCTCGTCCATAAGTAGAAACGTACATCTCAACTAGAAGAGGAAATTGCATCTAAATAAATGAGGTGACTGGAACGCTAGCAAGGAAAATCATAGGAATAACAATCCACGACTGTTCATGGATGATAATGAAAAGGGCAGAAGAAAAGGCAACCATCATGGTGGAAATAGAGATGAATAAGGTGGAAAGGCCTATTATCATCTTTGTTGGTAAGGATGTAAGGAAATCATCTACAGCATAACGTGATGTAAGGATTCCCAAAAACATCAACACCGAAGTTGTGGAAGAAAAGAGGGATATAGCATCTGAAACTATAAAAGCCATAAACAACTTTTTATGCAGGAATATTGGGAAGCCTGTTTGTCCATTGTTTCCACCGGGAATTATGAATGTTGCAGCAAACATGATGGTAATAATGAGAGCACCTACAACTGTACATGAAAATGCAGTTTCTTTCTTCCATCTTTCTCCTTCCTTCACCAATTGGTTGTGGTTCTCGGAAAACATCTTATACTCCTTATTTAAAGATTCTTTAGCAGGAGTCTTACAATATTTATCGACGTCCTACATTTTGTTGAACAAAAGATTCATATGAGTATAAGAGGTTATTATTCTAATTTTCCAATCAACCCTTGAATTTTTTTAAATTTGAGAGGCCATATAAACGTAAACCATTAGAGAACAGAGAAGACAATGTTGACCGTAAAGTAACTAAATAAGCCATCTTAGTACTCCCTTTATTTCTAGTTTAACTCCTTCGACTACATTTTTGGCTGCATTGGCTTTCGACTAGAAAATGTTTAAATTACATAAATTGGAACATTAGTTTTCTCCCACGATATAAGAAATGACTCATTTTAGCCACAACAATTTGTATAAGTTGAAAAAGTATAAATTAATACAAATTTTGTTCATGTTTGTTTAAAACAGTATCCATCTATTTGAGGTACTACTTTTTTTTAACACAAAACAATAAAGTATAGAAAATCATATTCAGTGAGGAAAAGAAAAACAGAATGTTCACAGTATATACATATGACAAATGTATATCTTCTTAGATGTCTTATTGATTTCTGATTTTAACTAGTTTGTACCAGGATGACCGATTCCGATTCCCATTACCCACAATTTCGAAACAAAAAATGGTCTTTAGAATTGTACTAATTCATAAGAGGGAGGGAAAAAAAAAACTAACACTGAATTATATGTTCTGACCTTGAACCATTGTAGTTCTCTCTGCATTTTCAAAGCTGCACCTGAGATATTATCGAGCCTTGCTAATGGTGAAAGCATCCCTGCCACATGTAGCGCGCAATTGTTATCCGAATCTGCAAGACTTCCAATTACAGTCTTTGTTTTTTATCGAGTTTATAATAAATAATTCTATAAACTTTTTCTTGACGACATTCAATGGCAAACTGAAAGAGGTTCCTTCTCATTGAATTTGACGTCCACACGAGATTTGGTTTTGATTGCAATACACGGTCAATAAACTCAAACATTCCTAGCTTCGTAGCTCGGAAGACTGCTGCAGTTAGAAGCTCATTGATATCTTCATGTTTTATCACTTCACACATGTTATCTAGGAGTTCAAGGGCTTGAATATGGGCCAATTTCATTTCTCGTAGGCGTTTGATTCCTAAGTTGGCATTGGAAAAACATGTTATACGACTAATTCCAGAAAGAAAAAAAAATCCTTTAAAAATAATAATGGAGAACAAAGGAAAAATATGGAAACAATGTAGCATACCCAAAATTTCAAGGAGATTTGTGTTCAGCCCTTGCAAGAAACCTAGCACTGCAATGGAAATTCAAAATCTAAACATATGATGGGGATAGCTGTATGTATCTCTGTTAATTAGATGATGTATGATATGACAAAATGGGCAATTAATACGATTAATTGACTCCTAATTTAATACCAGGGCCACGTTCAGATAGTAATAGAATCGTTGTGGATCAAAATGAAAAGGTCCCTAGTTCTTGAAGCAGAAGCTAAGTTTCGTCAACTTTCTCCAATTTCTAATCCGTTTTTGACATGATTAAATAGCAATTATATTTCAATCTAAATTCTAAGCAATGAATGAGTGATGGATGACCGGTACACGCAAATGTTTTAAAAATTTTGCCTACCGGTAATGCGAGTCCAATAGCACCTACATATGTTGCGTTGGGGCAAACATAAGGCCATCTTCAATGGGGACTTAAATTAGGCTTTACCTCCTTGGGACTCCTAAATATAGTGTCCAAATAAAAAAGGGCGGTTATCTAGTGAGAACGCTTATGTGCGAACGTTATATGAGAACCAAATTCAACCATCCAAATTATCTGAACGGCTAAAGAGAAAAAGCAAGCTTACGGTAAAATGGGTAGGCTACAGTTCCCCTTAGCCCAAGTGTCAAGTCGCGCCTGTTTCGAAAAAACACGCTTTTCTTCTTCCTGACAGTGGCCAGTCGCGCCTTTCTTGTCAATAAATTTATGAATTTATGAACCAACCCTAAACACCCAAAATACCTACCAGGCATAAATTTGTGTATTTCTCTTGTCGCAAAAACTCCCTGGTGTACTCTGTCTCTTTCGCTTCCTCCCTCATCTAATATTTCTCATTTGAACATCTGAGAAGATACGTTTCTCTCGAATTCCCTCTCTTTCAATCATATTAAAGTTTGCATGTTATATTGCATTTAGTTAATGTTTAAATCACTTAATGTTTAAATAATGTTTAGGATTTTAGGGAATTGATTTTCTGGGTAAGAGTAGTCTGTCTCTGTAGTAGTTGCGTTTGCAAAAATATAAATTGGCTTCAGTTGTTTTTTTGCGTCTTTTTCTAGTTTCTAGTAATTTGTTAAAGCATAGTAACTAATTTTTAAAGTTTTTCTGCGGTTTAAATATTATTTACTTTTTCCAAAAGTTGGGTTGTCTTTTTATTGCAATTTTTTATGGTAATTTGTTGAAGTGTAGATTCACAGCTGTTGGTTGTTCCTATTTTTTTTTGCATTGTGCTTGCTTGTTGTCTTTTCTTAAAATTCCAGGAACCTTCATGTGTTGGTCATTGTAATCCTGCTTTGCCCATCTAGTGGTGTGAGTGTATGGCATCATTTTAGGGATTTAATGGGGTTTGGAAAACAAAGAATAAGTACCATTAGAAGTAGAACGCATAAGAGAAAATTGAATCTTAACTGTGAATATGAGATGATTTGGGATGCAGAAGGATCAATGCATCTTGTAGTAGGTATCAATTCTGTATGTTAATGTGTTGAAAATAGTGTTGGTAGGTATCAGTTTTGTATGTGAATGTGTTGAAAATAGTGTTTGTAGGTGAAAATTATGCATCTTAATGAGTTGAAAATAGTGTATCAGTTGTGCATCTTAATATGTTAAAAATAGTGTTAGTAGGTATCCATTATGTATCTAATGTTTGAAAATAGTGTTTGTAGGTATATTAATTTTGTATGGTAATGAGTTGAAAATAATATATCAGTTTCCATCTTAATATGTTGAAAATAGTGTTAGTATGTATCCATTATGTATGTGAATGTGTTGAAAATAGTGTTTGTAGGTATTCATTATGTATCTTAATGTGATGAAGATGTGTAGATAATATTGTGAGTAGGTATCACTTATGTATGTTAATGTGTTCATAATTTTGTGAGCAGGTATCACTTCTGTTTCTTAAGCAAAAGGTGTTTGTTGCAGTTATAAAATGGAATCTGGGTTTGAACTTTGTTTCCCGGAGTCAGAGGTCTATGCTGCACGGGTGAATTCTGAAAAGATTTAGAGAGTCGCTTATGAAAAGATTTAGAGAGAGCTGTTTTGGGTACCTGTTGGGCCTCCATAAAATTGCATTTAGTGGTCAAATTGTGCATGCTTTGGCACTCCAGCAAGTCGGAGGACTTGGTGTTAAGGACATGTTGGGCCTTAGTTATGCAATAGGGTCCAATGTTGCTCAATTCAGTGTAAAGGATTTTTGTTTGATAAGTGGTCTGAAATGTGGAACAGAGCCTGACATAATGTCCAGGGGGATGCTCATAATCGATTTATGAAAGCGCATTTTACCAACAGGGGTCACATTACTTGCAATGACTTAGAAAATGCATTCCTAAAGTCCGAAAGAGGAAGCGAGGACTTGTTCAAATTGGGACTGCTGTATTTTGTGGAGTTTGTGATAATGGGTAAACCCCAAAATGTGAAGACAAACGAGGAGTACTTACATTTGGTTCATAAAATGGACGAATTCAACGATTATCTATGGGGATCTATATCTTTTGAGTTTTCTGCAAGATTCTCTGTTGTTTGCTCCCGGGAAGAAAGAGAGTGATGAAGTGAATGATGGGAAGGGAAAAGGACATAAAAAAGGCAGAAACGCGGTGCGGAGTTCAGTGAGAAAATGGAAGAAAAACGTGGAAGATGAGAAGCCTAAAAGAATTAACAGACCTTGATGGAGTATAAAGGGATTGAGCTATGCTCTCCAGGTATGATGTAGTTCAAAATTAGTGTTTGTAAAATTTTAGTTCGTAATTAAGTACTGACTTTGATAATCTATTTGTTGTAGATTTGGGTGTATGAATTAATTGTTGAATTGGGAATTCCCCCCTTAGATATTGTAAGCGGATCGAGGAACCTGCATTAGTCCCTCGAATTTGTCGGTGGGAATCCACGGATAAAGTGCCTGAGTTTAGAAAGCTGAACGCTTATATATTTCAAAGCAAACATGTGTGTAGTTAATAATTTATTTCAGTACTATGTTCGTTTCATGAGGAAAGCTGTTTAGTATTGTGTATGACCTGTTAACTTTATGTGTTTGATAGCCTGTTATACTGCGCCTCTTACGACCAAGTCAATTGGAGATGAGCCAACCATATTTGAGTTGGGGATCAGATGTTCCTGAATGTGATGCACCTATTGTAGCTCCGCGAGTATGTAAGGACCTTGATGAGTTAAACTCTGTTGTGCAGCAGTTGAGGAATGAGGTTGCAATATTGCACCGTGAGAAGGGTCAGCTAGAGGAGAGAGTTTTACACTTGGAAAAGTGTACCAGTCATGCAGACGCGAGGAAGAATGGGGATGCTGGAGAGAGATGAATAAGACTGAGGATGCTGGAGAGGAGAGGAATAAGACTGAGGATGATGGAGAGGAGAGTCAGAAGACTGAGGATGCTGGAGAGGAGAGTGATAAAATTAAGGATGGTAGAGTAGCCGAATTTAAAGAGCAGTGTGTACAAAAGTGCTAAAGAAGAGGTGCAATATACACCCCCGGATATAAATTGGGATGATCCGGGTGTGGTGTGTGTCACCCTTGTTAAATTTCTTACGAATCCTACTCGAAAGATTGACATGTCCACTGCTGAAGGTGAATGTGGTGAAGATGTTATAGTTGGGGTCCGGCAAAAGAGGGGTCGGGGAAAGAGTGAGATTCTTAGCCCTGCGATGAAGAGGCGAAAGGCTGTGGTGAGGGAAACTTCATGGACAGGTCGGGAGATTCCCAATATTTCGAAGGACACAATTGCTGACCCCCTAAGGCCTGTTCCTCGTGATTCCCTTTTGGAGTTTGCGAAATTCTGCTGGGAATGGGGACAAGAAGAAAAGTAAGTTCTCACTGCCCGTCCATAGTGAAATGTAAATTGTTTATCATGATTAGCTATTGAGTGAATGGTGAAACAAAATTGATAATAATAATGATTCACAAATATAGTTCACATGTGCGGTTATGTGGAGAAGACAGTACGGAAGGTTCGTATAACTTCTTTGTTCGATTGCTAACCAAGGATGGTTGGTTGGATGACTCAGTAAGCATTGATTGATTTGGGATTTTGTCGAAATGCCTATGCTATGTAGTGATTTATTGATTTAATAATGGAAACAACCCTTTTATGTAGAACATAGACATGGCCTTGCTTTTGCTACAGGAGCGGCACAAGAGCTTTGGCAACTAGGTAGGTTCTGACTGAACGATACTAGACACCACTTTTCAGGTCTATATTATTTCTTAAGCATTGTTTATTTTCAAATTTGGTATCCGTTATGATGCATAACTCGTGTGCCACTATGCAGAAATGTGCTGCCTTGGATTACAAGCAAATGAAGGCGTATGTGGGACAGGAGTACAGGCAGCACAGCAAGGGTCTACTGGGAATGGTCAGGGGCGAAGGGCCTAAGTTGGCTAAATCATGGTCGTCTGTGAATCGCGTTTGTTTGCCCTTCAACCTATAAAGGTAGAAGCACTGGATCTTGCTTGTTGTCGATTTAAAAGAGTGTGAGATAAGGGCATATGATTCAAAAGTAGATCTGTGTAGAACTCAAGCCATCCAACGGGCCGTGTAGCTGGTGGCAAAAATGATGCCCCTGTTGTTAAATGAATCTGGGTATATTGGCGATGGTCTACTTCTGAAAAGTGAGTGGCCAGTTATTCGTGTCATGGATGCACCCCAACAGTAGGCGGGTGAGTAATATTCCACCTAACCACATTGTCTTATGAAATGGATTTGTTGTACAATGAATCACAGCTTCTTAGCTATGTTTCAGGGGCGACTGTGGGATGTACATCCTCAAATACTGCGAATTTCTGACCTCGACTGTAGACCTGGCCAAGATTTACCATGACGTCATGCCCTTCTATCGGTTGAAGCTCGCTGTACAGTTGTTGCAGGGATATTGGTAGCTGTGATTCATTAGGAGATACTATAACTTGCAAAGTTTTTAACTGTGTGGGGTGTAGTGTAGTATATGAACTTGCAAAGTTAATTTAACCGGCTGGGCAATTTTGTTGGTAACAGACCTTATATTCACGAGTTACAAAACAAACATTTCTATAATATAAGGGAAGCTTGAAGAGCTTTCTTCGCATGCTTGAGCGCATCTTTCCCCTTTATATTTTAGTAAGGTTTTGAAAAGGTAGTTTTCTTGTTTGTTAAGGAACAAAGTCTTCTTTATGATCCAACTCCCCATTTTCACTTAAAATTAAAGAATTAGTTTTTATATTCTGTTCAAATACAAGCTGTATGAAACCCTCAACACATATTGTTGACAGTATGCTGAACCCAAACCCTAAATGGTGCATGATTCTTTTCAAATGTCGAATAAATAGTAATGTATCTTGTTTAGGGCAAACACGATTGTGAAGTTAAGATGCAGGCATATGAAATGTTGAAGTTTGTCATTGACTAATTGTGCTGAAGGCTTAATTATATTTGTACATTTCCAAACACGTCTTATATGTAGCTGTCCGGATTACAAAATTACAAAACATATGCTTAAACCCAAAACATTTCTTACTTTTTCATCAATTTAACAGCCAAATTCAGAAATGATAGAACTAACAATAGTAGGAGGATTTTATTAATGCCCTTCAGTATATAGATTACTTCAGCATATGCATTAAGTACCTTCACATCCACCTGGTTTTGAATGTCAAATTCAGTTGGGGTGTTGGCTGCTATCACCCATTCATAGCCACTAAACCTTGTAGCTCCCTACAAAAAAAAACAAACAAAACTACATTTTTCAGTCTGGATTACAATGTCAGACCATATTCTTTTCTCTGGATCAGTTTTAGTTTGGGATTACTGTTTATTATATACAGCTTATTCAGTTTTACATACGAGGTTTGGGAAGATTATATTGACATATGTTGTGAAGCACTTCCAATACGGTCTGCCTAGATTCCTTTCGGAGTTGGAAATTAGCTTCACCATCTCAGCATTGCAGTGCCGACACCACTTTGCTTCAGTGTTTGATGAAGAAATCAACATCGCTTTGCCCAAAGTTGAAAATGAAGAAAATAGAAGACTTATACCCTTCCAATTATTTGGTCAAAACCCCCAAATTATTTTCTTCCAATTCTGAAAAGGAATTGAATTTTAATTTTTGGTCGAAACATATATGGATTTTGAAGTTTGAATTCGCCTTTTTTGGTCATGACAATTCGTGAGCGGGAAATTCCAAAGTTGAATTTTTTTTTAATTTTTTAACCCTAATGCATGAGCGGGAAAATAAAAAGCATTGTTGTGGAATTATTTTCTTCCAATTCTGAAAAGGAATTGAATTTTAATTTTTGGTCGAAACATATATGGATTTTGAAGTTTGAATTCGCCTTTTTTGGCCATGACAATTCGTGAGCGGGAAATTCCAAAGTTGAATTTTTTTTTAATTTTTTAACCCTAATGCATGAGCGGGAAAATAAAAAGCATTGTTGTGGGGAATTTTTAATAATTTTTTTACCCTAAACACTCCACAGTAAACCCTACACCGTAGCCTTAAAGGCGTTTATCAAATGAAAATATAAGTAAGACAAAAATTAAAAGGAAAACGGGCGTGTGGCGGCATGGGAATGCGTCGCGTGTCGCTGAGGTTTGCAGCTCCCCACTCCAGCTCCGCCACTTGGCATTCCGTGTGTATTTTATTCCTTTTTTATTTCAGAAAATCTTAAAAAATACAGGAAATTCAGAAAAAATGGGGGAAAATTCATAAGTATAAATCGGGATGAATACTTCGTACTAAAAGTACAATAACGGATTTTGGTGTGAGGGAAAAATAAAATTGGGGAACAAACCCTAGTGTTGGATGATGCAAATGAAAACACTAGTACACTTTTCAAACCCTAGACTCTTATTTGTTCGATCACATTAATTCCGTATGGATATTTATATGATGTGGCCTTTTTCCGGATATTTCAAGGAAGGAAATGTCATCACGAGTTCGGAGGATTTTTTCTAGAATTTTTCCCCCTTCAATTCGATTTTTAAATGAATATGTAATTGGAAATGAATAAAAAATTTGAAAAGGGACGTGTGACGGCACGGGAATGCGCCGCGTGTCATTGAAGTCTGCAACTCCCCACTCCAGCTCCACCACTTGGCATTTCGTGTGTATTTTATTTCTTCTTCTTTTTTTTTCCAGAAAATCTTAAAAAATACAAGAAATTCAGAAGAAATGAGGGAAAATTCCTAAGTATGTATCAGGATGAATACTTCGTACTGAAAGTACAATAACGGATTTTGGTGTGAGGGAAAAATAAAATTAGGGAACAAACCCCATTGTAGGATGATGCAAATGCAAACACTAGTACACTTTTCAAACCCTAGACTCTTATTTGTTCGATCACATTAATTCCGTATGGATATTTATATCATGCGGCTTTTTTTGGAATATTTCATGGAAGGAAATGTCGTCACGAGTTCGGAGGATTTTTTTTGGAATTTTTCCCCCTTCAATTCGATTTTTAAATGAATATTTAATTGGAAATGAATAAAAAATTTGAAAAGGGACGTGTGGCAGCATGGGAATGCGCTACGTGTCGCTGAGGTCTGCAGCTCCCCACTCCAGCTCCGCCACTTGGCATCTCATTTGTTTTTTTTTTTTTTTTTTTTTTGATTGAAATCATAAAAAATAAAAAAAAATTCAGAAAAAAAGGGGAAAATTCCTAAGTATGTATCGGGATGAATACTTCTACTGAAAGTACAATAACGGATTTTGGTATTCCGTGTGCATTTTATTCCCTTTTTTTTTCTTTTCAGAAAATCGTAAATAATACAGGAAAATTCATAAAAAATGGGGGAAAATTCCTAAGTATGTATCGGGATGAATACTCCGTTAGGAGTTTTGACTTATACTTCTCAAGGAGTTTCTGGTTAAATACGCTATTTAAATCCTTTTGTTAGTCAAAAGGGATTTCCAATTATTGGATTGAAATTTTGTATTTTTGTTGTTGTTGCAACAATCGTAAACATTGCATGACAAATTCAGAATGTTAAGGGGAAAAACCCAACACTTATTTTCCCCCCTTAAATTCGATATTTAAATCATTATGTTAGTGAAAATAGAATTTTGGATTTCTTTATTAAACTATTTTTTATCTTTCAAATATAGTTTCAAATGCAGGACAAATAAGGAAATGTGGGGAAATTGAAAATGTTATTAAACGATCACCAGAGTATCTTAGAAGATCAAGGATGGCTCAGACCCGGTCTGACTGAAAGAATAATCCCTCATGCTTTGACAACACGCAAGCTCCCTGGCATTTGGGTGTCTGTCATCTTCAATGAATGACTGCTTCGGGAATCGGAACCAGCAATTCCTCATTTCAGAACACATAGTCAAACCATAGGACCCAAAACCATCCAAAACATATGCACACAAGCTACAAAGGTCTATGGAACACAACCGTCTACAAACGTGTACTAAATTGGATCTTAAAAGTGCACCGATTACAAAAACAGACCTTCAAACCATAAACATGACTTAAAACCACAAACGTCGGCAACCTTACCATAAACAGACCTTGAATTAAAAACATTAAACAGAAGGTAAACTTCCCCTGTAGATACCGTGTCAGAGTAGTCACCCGCCAAGTCCCATGAGAAATACCACTCCCGATTACCCTCACAGTTAATGCTGTTAAGAAAAAAAACTTCTGTCATCAGTTAGCTTTGCAAGAGTTGGAGGAGTCACCACGCCCGAAATTGTATACCTCATCAGTCAATTCATAATTGATGCCCTGCATGCTTGCATGTCAATTTTCTTCGTTTTTCTTAGATGGCACAACAATTCCATTGCATCATATTGTCCCTCCGTAGGAGTCACCAGCACTAGCAAGCCAACAGTGTAGGAGGATTCCATATGCCCTGCCTTAGCCGGCCCCCGGAAGTTGTTGACAACCTCATCAACTTCTCTGTAAATGATTTCTGGATTGTTGTGTTCCTTGCACTTTTGCAAGATCATGTATTATTGGCTTCGTTTCCCAACCGGTGTGACTGAAAGTACAGTTCACACACCTCGATGATCCAGGTTTTGGTGGCAAATTGGTCTTCTCGCGGCTCCATGCCTAGGTACACCTCGTGGGTGTTCACATTTATGATACTACTAATCAACGTTAGTAGTCAAAAAATTAAATATACTTTTTATGATAATGATTATGCAAATATCACATCACTACTTATGGAGGTAAAATTCGTTGCATTTTAACATGACCATGTGAATAATTTAACAGCCAAGTATGAAACTAAATATCATATCAACGCACCATTAACAGTAAAGAAAATGAAAACAGTGTTTATTACATCACCAGTTATGAAGGTAATCTGAATTTAACATTAGCAAGTAAACAATTTCTTCTTCTAAAATATTATACTTAATATGAACGCACCATTAACAGTACAGAAAATGAAAATAGTGTTTTATGATATCACCAGTTATAAAGGTAATCTGAATTTAACATGAGTAAGTAAACAATTTCATCTTCTGAAATATGATACTAAATATGAACTCATATCACCAGTAAAGAAACAAAACAATGTGCTTGTGGTACTTATAATGCAAATATCACATCACAAGTTGTGAAGGTAACTTACATTTGAACATGACCAAGTCAACAGTTTCATCTTCGCAAATATGATACTAAATACAAGCGGTAAAGAAAATTAAAATATCGTATATTATACAAATAATGCAAATATGACATCACTAGTTCTCAAGGTAACTAAAGTTGTAGCTTCCCACTCGAAATCAACATTGGCATTTTGGCGGGTAAAATGAAAATGAGGATTGCTCTATAAATACCAATGTAAGAGTATTTTACCATTGCACCTCCACTTGCTCCAAACAAGCCTAAACTCAGAATGGGTTTCCCTACAAAAATCCCCCCCATACTTATAACAACTCCAGCAAAAAATGCAGAACCTTTGTCATAGAGGAATAACAAAGCTGAAGATATTGTTGATGGAGCTGCGTAATCCATAAACTTTTCATCTGAGGACCACGATGATGTACCTCGGATCGGCAAGATGCGGTATGATGCGTTGATCATGGAAATCAAACGCCTGAAGATACGTCTAAGATGGTATCAAGAAACATTGGGGAAGGAGAAAAAGAAAGCGAAATTCCACCTTCGATCAATCCAAATAATGAAAGTGAGGGTTAGGCTTGCGAAAGGAAAAGGTGTTCGAAAGTTAAGTACTTCGAATGAGTCTGTTTAGATGAGGGAAGCAGAAGCACGCAAAGGGTTCAAGCTGTTCCGTGAGTTTGCAAGATGTGTTGTCCCAAGCTACAACTGGGACGGGATTGCCATGGAGTAAGCCATCGCTGGAGAAAGTTCATTTTGGGGGTTTTCAGTATTTTGTTCGGAACAAATGTGTGGTTCATTTTGAGTACGTTTTTTGGCATTTTTTCTGGGCTCCTGAAGGTGTAAAAACTCTAGTTTGAAGTGTTCTTACTTCTTAGGTAATGTATCCAACTGTAAGATGTGAAGGACAACTGTAAACAAATGGGGAAACTGTTTTGGGTTTTTTAAGCGTACTTTTGTCTACATAAATTGTTGTGCTTTTATGAAGTTTGTTTATATTATTTTCTAATCACATATTTCTTTGTGTTATTTTATAACGCCTAAAAGGCATGGAATAGAAACAACAGAGGTGGATTTGTTGATAATCCATGTATTTATGTCGCATAGTAATTAAGTAATGGAGGGTTGACTTTATCTCGTTCGTTTAGGGATGGCAATGGGTTGAATCGGGGGTGGGTATGCCATTTCCATGGCCCGCCCCATTAGGGAAGAAAAAACCAATTATATAACTATTCTGTTGAAAATAAAAAAGAGTAGTAAGACAACATAATGAATATATAGAATACATACTTAGAAGACAATATAACAATGTTTATATATATGTTGGAAGTTAACTAAATAAATAAGTAGTGTGGCTTAAGATTTGTATACAATATAATCTACTAATATAAAATATAAAACTTAGTCGATACTCTGTATGTTCATAGCATATTTATATATGAGGTAAATGCTCATGTGTGTTTCCATTTTGGGTCATTTGAATAAAATAATGCAGCTATGCAGAAAAATATATTAGTAAATACAGTGCTGAATAAATTTATTTGGAAGTCAGTTTTTGTTTCCCTCTTTTTTAAGTAATTGGGTGAGTTTTGAGGTTTGAGCATTTATTTGATCACTTATATGGTAGCTAATTATGTTTGTAACTTGGCGTTTTAGAGGTTTGTTTATTGGTTTCGAATATATAATTTTAGCAATGAAATAACAAGAACCATACTGTGTCTGTTAATTGAAAGGAGAAAATATAGAAATATTTTTCCGAACAATTATATATGCAGCAAATGAAACTAATACTTGTGTTCTTATAAATTAGATAATGAACACTAAGGAAGTATACTTCTAATTTTTGCAAAATATAATATTACGGTTCAAAGGAAAGCAAGATATCACCATATTCTAAAGATGGAGTGTTCACTCTGTATTGTCACATCATATGAAATTAAGTACGAAATTGAGTTTTCATAATCACTTTGGATGATTTATAGCTTCCCCTAGTTTTGTAATGGCACAAGGAGCTGGAAGCAATTTTCCGGGAAATTTTCCGATTTTTCTCCTATTTATTACCATTTTAAAAATCATTTTGCATTAAAAAATTTAAAACATAAAGAAATAACGCACATGGCGACTGCTGACCGCATCCCCCTTCAGTAGGTGCACACGTGTATGCCAGTGGCCATTGCCACATCCTTCCTTTCCGTGTGAATTTAAATGAATATTGCTATTTTCTTACAAAATTCATAACTAAATATACAAAATCGGGAAAAAATTTCGCAAATTGCTACGAACTCATTCAAACTTGATAAATTAAAATTCAAGTGTGTGCTAACATTTTTACTAATCATGTGAGGCTCCTGTGATTAACTAAATCAAATACCTTGATTACTTTTATATAAAATAAAAAAATTAAAGTGATGGGACAAAAGGAGAAAAAACAAAATGGAAATCTTCCGGACATAATATATAAACATTGTGTTATGCCTATGGGATACTCATGCCTTACATCTCTCTTCTTTCCAGTCGTCTTTTTTGCATACAAACCTTCAGCCGAATCCCCCAATCTGACGATTTTTTCAACATGTCCGCCAGTTCAAGCGCCAAAGTGAACTAGGGGGACTCCGATGGCTCATGGGAATATGCCCCTGATTATCCAAGGTCCCCTCCACCACCGCTGCCTCTTCCAACCTCCTCCACAAGCGAGGGGGACTCCGATGATCCCGCTATGGAAATAAATGATATGAAGAACAAACTGGAACACAACTCTTCCTTGGTCCATTATTGGACTCAAAAGTGTGTCGGAGCTGAGCAGAAGTTGGCTTATTTGACTTGGCATGTTAACAAAGCCTGTTACAGAAAAGAGAAGCAGAGAATTCGTGCCCAAAGAAGAAAGCACACAGTAGAGGATTTGCATATGACAGAGAAGGATGCTACTTACGAATCTTTGAGCATCCACAAATAAGTCGACAACCAAGGCCAGGCAATGTTTGTGGCTTTCAACGAAGGTTTTGAGAAATTCCGACGATTTGCTGCAGATGTCCACAAAGATATTGACTGGGTCGCCATAACCCTGTCTGCTACACAGGAAATCATCTCCAACGGTGCATACTCAACAGAGTGAGGCCACCAACCAGCAAAAGGCAACGATAATGACTAGTGATAGCCATATCAATCCGTAGGCAATCCTTTAGCAGTTGTTTGTTTTTGTTAATGCCTGATCTGGGTTAGTGTTTAAATGTGAATGCCCGATCTGGGTTACTGTTTTAATGTTAATGCCCGATCTTGCTTATGTGCAGCTTATTATTTCGTTTTACATTGCTATCAAACCTAGAGTTCAATCACAGTTTGATCACTAACTTCCAGATTAGAAGCGTTCATTTCGTAATAATGCTCACAATTTTTTGTTTAATTCATTGTCGGTGGGGAGACAATTTGTTTCAAGATTCTCTGACACAGATATTCGTTGGTTGAGACTTTACAGAGACATAGTGATTGTTTCAAGATTCTCTTACTGACACATAGTCATGGTTTCAAGATTCCCTTGGATATTTTCATATTCATTGCAACCATTGCAAATTTGTGTAGAAAACCCCTTCCATGATTCCCCCAAACTCATTCTCCTTCAAACAAGGACTTCAGGTTCTGAAAATCCCAAATCCCCAGAGGACATTCGGGACATCCACCTTCAACAAAAGATGGATCCGAAACATCGAGTTATGCATTGAAAGCATGGTGCCGTTCAAGACCAAAAAAGATGTAAATAGGTATCAATAAATGTTAAAACTTCGGGACCATAAATGAAATCAAACTCTTCTAGATAGTTATATGTTTAATAAACCATAGTTCAGTATCTATGGACATGAGGCATTTGCCTAAGATTCACTAACGCTTCCAGATACTTTCAAAAATGATGTAAATAAGTATCAATAAGTGTTCGAACTCTGAGACCATACATGAAATCAAACTCTTGCATAAATGACTCTATCATAGTAGGTTCACTGTCTTGCGTGCTCTGAGTGGGCTGCAAATTCTCACCAACTGGACCACCAAATTTTGTGTTGGAAGATGAAGAGCTGCCACATCGGAAAAAAATAATAATAAACATCAACAACATAAATTTCAAAGAACAATATAATACATATTCACTTACAGGCTCGCAAGTTTTGGACAACTCCGTCTATCGTCTTCCTACATTCAGTGCACCAACGTTTATGTCGTTGCACTGCGTTCTCTTTTTCTTCTTTAACTCTTTTCGCACGCCCTTTTACTTTCACTCGATGTGGATCTTTGATTCTGAGTTGGGGATAACTTGTTCCGACATCTCCATTGGGTTCCTCGACATGAGCTCTTGATGACACCAATCTTGTAAGCTTCCCACGAATGTCCTCAAAAGATTTTTCCAGCAACTCAAAACCTTCATCACACAACAAAGCCGAATCAATTAAATCACTTGCAACTTTGCAAACTTTCGATCTCTTAACCAAAAGTAAACCATCAACGCAATCGTTAACTTCTTTGTGACAGGACCCGCCCCGAATTTCTCGAAACCTGGGACGAATCCTGTGGAATTCCCGACATCATCCCGATGTCGGGCCCACTCACTAAAACTGTAACCACCTTTTCCAAAAGAAGTAGGGGCACGAGACTTTCTGCCGAAATTTCGGCAGAGTTTCCCTTATACATTGAACATTTCCCAAAAATTTCAACCTGCATAAAAACACATTTAATATCCCAACAGGCAGCACGCACAATATAATTTCATGCAATTCACATAAATGGCCTCCAGCCTTCAAATGATTCGAAACAAAATTGCCAGCAATGTTCTTAAATCAAATTAATGCATATAACAATCTCAAACTTATTTATGAACGCCTACTGTAATCAACATAGAATAAAGTTTAGCCCGTGGCTGCACCTAGGCACTACCCTAGGCTGCCTACGTACCCTTACAAAGGGATCAAGCCACACATAGTTCTTTCCTAAAACCATTTTTCTTTAAATCACAACTCAACAATCACAATCTTTAATTTATCTCCCAAAATCTCCCTATACGTCGGAACATCCAAGGCCACGTATAGGGCCTATCAGCACGCCGGATAATCCTACGACACGTTATCTCCCCATATGCCGGTACTACCAACGCCGCATATGGGGTCTGTCAACACGCCGGCTACTCCTACGACACGTGCGACCTCACAAGCTTATCACAATATCTCCCCATATGCCGGTAACACCAACGCCACATATGGGGTCTGTCAACACGCTCCGTCGTTCATTTTCGAAGTATCCGGGACTCCGTTCCACGATCCGTCGAATCCTACACTATCCTAGGAATGTCTAGATTGACATATATTAAATTAACGATGATCCAACGGTTCAAACCTATCGAACCCGGATAACACACAATATGAGATGTCCAATCGACGATCAAACGATATCCAAATTGAAATCCGAGCACTCCTACGCGCTCATGAGAACCTGGAGATTACATCGGGACACAATGCCCTTTTTCTACAGTGCCCATGCGCCGCCACACGCGCTGGCAGCGCGTGGGTGTCCAAAGCGATTCGCATCGCCGGAAAATCTCCAAATCACGGCTCAAGACTCCTACCCTAGGTATAACACCCTATTTGGAACCACTTTAGTTCTTGGACCTAACCCAAAAGTGACCAGAAGTGGCCGGGATCTCATCCCGAAATCCGGCCAAATCTTGGGTTACAAATCGAGTTGCCTACGCTAGAAATTGATCAATTCCAACCCAACAGACAGCTAGATCATGGAAAATACGTGAGAAAGCATACCTCACTCGCCTGAATCGGTGGCCGAAGGAGGGAGAACGAGCCGACGAAAGTTCACGAAAAAGTTGTCCAACACCGCTTGTTTCTTGGCTGTTTCCGGGGACTACGACAGCGGATTGAGGAGGAGAAAGGCTGGAAGAGGGAAGTGTGGCAGTTCTAACGGAACCGTTATTGCTTGAATTGGTGGCCGGAATTGGGAGAAATCGCCCCTTGAAGATGGCTGGTCAAGCTGCTCCCAAACTGAAGAAATTCTGGGTTTTTAAAAACTGAACTTCTAAATATTTACGGTTATGCCACTGAACTTCTTTTGATCGCCATTTCTTCGTTACAATTCCGATTCAAGCCCACTACGTGTCTACGGACACATCTCACCGTGCTCTACGCAACAGTATAGTCAAAATTCCCAAATTCCCTCCTGGTCAAAAAGTTAACTTTAAACCTAATAAAATATTCTATGGGCAAAATGGTCTTTTATCTGAATAAATTAATATTTACCAATTTATTTAAGACCGGGTCGTTACACTTTGCGATTCTTATCTTATATTACATCGTTTTTCGCACTTTGAAGCCATCGTTTCAATATGTACTTGTCTGGCAAGTGCTCAACCTGCTTCATTCTTAAGAATGCTACACAGAATACCCTAAAATTCAAATCCTTTGCAGGTGCAATAAGCTTTATCGGCATCTTTATCATGCACAAGCTCCTTCATCCGTGTCACCCCCGGATTTACCGGCTCACTTTGTATCTGCAGTGCGTCTCATCTTGCTCTACAAGTTCGAACAAGCATAAAAGACTTCTGAAGTCTTCCTTCTCAAACATTTCCAGAATTTTCCGAGTGTAAATGAGTCCCATTTGATGTTGCATTGGTGTTTGAAATGGCAGTGGAGGTTTTTCATTGTTATCAACATGATCAGCCATTAACTCCTTGTGTCTTTATGAAGCAAGAGCTCTCTCAAAACGTACAATGAATTCCATCAATGTGTTTTTCCGGTTAATATATTGTTTGAAAAATGAATGACAGCTTTCGGCCCGTTGACTACTTGACATCTTAGCCGAAAACACATGTTTTACATATGATAGAACCCAATTCTCCCGCATAGCATGAATTGAGCTCAGCCATGCATGGTCTTGCAGCCCATTGTTTGTGATGATTTCCTCTCATTTCGCATCAAATTCTTCTTTCTTGTCCATACCCTATATGCATTTTACACATTTCCAGAAAACATTCTCCAATGCCGGGTTTCTCTATAATCTTATTCAAGATATGCCATATGCAATATCTATGGAATGTTGTCGAGAGAGTTACAGCAATTGCCTTTGACATGGCTGTATCTTGATCAGTGATAATTATTTTGGGTGGCTCACCCGGCATGGCTTTCTTGAATTCCTCAAACAACCATACAAATGAATTCGTGGTTTCACTAGTTAGGAATATACAACCAAACAACACTGTCTGCCGATGGTTATTAACGCCTAACAAAGGCACAAAGACCATTCCATAGCAGTTCGTGTTGAACATCATATCAAATACCACCACATCTCCAAAAAAACCCATAAGCTCGTCTTGACCTTACATCTGACCAGAAAACATTACCCATCCTTCCTTCCGAATCTCCTCCATCTTGAAATAAAAGGATTCATTCTTTTCTTGCATAGCCACAAAATGCTCCTTAAGCAGCTCTGCATTATGGCCAATCACCTCTCCATGCACGTCCCTTAGATAATTATAGACATCTCTCTTAACAAACCCAACATTTTCCAATCCCCCTACTTGCACCTCAAGAAGGCTTAACTATTTATGTACCGGAATATTAACTTTGCTCATATCTGCACTATAGACCTTTGTAGACTCTGTTAAGTTACGGTGAGATCTCAATAGATGAACTTTATCAACTGTGGTCATGTCATGGTTGTGTACCTCATTGAATCCTACAACAATATACTTATTCTTGGCTTTCACCTTCAATATCGCAAGTTTAACCTTGCAACTAGTTCGAGTACAACCTCGCCGTCTTCTCTTACGACTAATAGGGATTGTCAACGCATACCCCTGTTTACAACATACATATTCCTTCCTTGTTACCTCTCCTGTCAGTGTGCACGTCCTCGTTGTAGAGCACCAAATGCCGAATCCGGCTTCCACAGCATACATATTATAGAAATTGAACACATCGTCACAGCAATCAAATTCAAGTCCCAATTTTGATTTCAACTTTGACCTTACTTCCGGTGTCACCTGTCCTTCGCACTCTATTTCACAGTTCTTGCAATTTAACCCTGAATTCACCACCATCATACCAACATTGGCACATGCTTTCAAAGAGCTTTAAAATATATATATTAACTAACATATGACATGAAAATGATTCCCTGGTGAAATATTAAAGACTTACATACAAACTAATGTAACTCATGCTTATACCCAATAATAAACTTGACAAATACAGTATAAAGAGCTTCAAAATATATATATTAACTAACATATGATATGAAAATGACTCTCTGGTGAAATATTAAAGACCTACATACAAAATGATGTAACTCATGCTTATGCCCAATAATAAACTTGACAAATACAGTATAAAGAGCTTTAAAATATATATATGTTAACTAACATTTGATATGAAAATGATTCTTTGGTGAAATATTAAAGACCTACATACAAACTAATGCAACTCATGCTTATGCCCAATAATAAACTTGACAAATACAGTATATCACTTACCTCGTGAGTCATTTCCAATTTCAAAATTTCTACAAATATGACAATGTTGCCCTTTTAGATCTGGACGTCAACCCCAAACACTTTTCTTCTTCCTCAACCCCTGTTTCGACCGTGCTTAACGATTTCAAAACCAAGAGAACAGCACAACGGTCGTGGTCACCAGTTTCCAACTCAAGACGTTGCTCAAGGATTGACGAATGTTCCAACCAGAAAGACCGAGCCACAAAGATGATAATATAAAATACACGAACACTATCTTTCGCCTAAATGAGAAACCCAGAAAAATGAGGGCTATACTTCTGTGTTCTTCCTGGAAAGCGCTCTCTCTTTAGTGCTATTGGTCTTGCTCAATCAAAGCTGATAAAAAAATTGGCCACTTAGTTTAACAAACCAAACAGCTGGATTGGAGGGGACGTCTGTTTTCGACTCAACGTTTTGGAAGGAGGAGAGAGAAGAAGGCCTCGTTTTAATACAACACTTACACATACAATTGCTTTTGATGCAACCGTTAGATTAGATCCAACAGTGTTCTCACGTAACGTTCGCACATAAGCATTCTCACCTGATCCAAACCGAATAAAAAAGCATCTCCAATGGCAGAATTTTTGGTCTCTATATCATAAAACTGGCCAGAAATAACCCTAAATCTGTAAACTTGCATAGAGCCTTAGAGCCCCAATGGGCCCTAAAGGACTCACTATAGAATGGCTCCTCCACTTGATGTTAATAGTGGGATGTATAAACCCTAACCCACTAGGTGTTGCATCCGGAACCACCCAAAATGAGTTTGTGGGTCCGAGTTGGATTTTCCTGGGAGTTGGTTGAGGTCCAGGCCCCGTAGAAACTAAATATTGGCCTTTTGGATGGTCTCTTTTGTCATGTCTTTTCGTACAGTTCGTGTAAATTCATACCATATTAGTGTAGATTGGTTTCCTTCGATTGTCTTCAAACCTATGTAATGGTAAATTCTTATTTGCTCATGAACATTACTTATTCTTCACTATACTTATAATGCAAGAAGAGAGAAAAAAATAAATAAATAAACAAATTGGGTAGTACAGTGATTAACCTCAATCAATATATTTCGAATTACTATGTCTATTACGTACAGTTATGGATATCTCTTGTCATAATTGATTGGCATATATAGCTGTAGCCTGTATATGCATGTCCCCTCATGGGGTTGATATCCGTTGTCCTTAAATTTCATATACCCTTTATTTTTTTTTTTTTTTTTTTTTTTTTTTTTTTTTTTTTTTTTTTTTTTTTTTTTTTTTTTTTTTTTTTTTTTTTTTTTTTTTTTTTTTTTTTTTTTTTTTTTTTTTTTTTTTTTTTTTTTTTTTTTTTTTTTTTTTTTTTTTTTTTTTTTTTTTTTTTTTTTTTTTTTTTTTTTTTTTTTTTTTTTTTTTTTTTTTTTTTTTTTTTTTTTTTTTTTTTTTTTTTTTTTTTTTTTTTTTTTTTTTTTTTTTTTTTTTTTTTTTTTTTTTTTTTTTTTTTTTTTTTTTTTTTTTTTTTTTTTTTTTTTTTTTTTTTTTTTTTTTTTTTTTTTTTTTTTTTTTTTTTTTTTTTTTTTTTTTTTTTTTTTTTTTTTTTTTTTTTTTTTTTTTTAAAATATACTTCGTACTGAAAGTACAATAACGGATTTTGGTGTGAGGGAAAAATAAAATTAGGGAACAAACTCTAGTGTTGGATGATGCAAATGAAAACACTAGTACACTTTTCAAACCCTAGGCTCTTATTTGTTCGATCACATTAATTTTGACAGGACCCGACCCAAATTCCACTTTAGAATCCGAGCTGAACCCTGTTCGTGATCGACACCTGGCGGGTGCCGAGCACAATTGACTTGGTTGCCCTTTTTCTGATTAGAAACTTAATTCCCTTAAATCCTGACTTCTACCGAAAATTCGGCAGAGTCTCCCTTATAAATCAGACGTTCCCAAAATTTACACCTGTCAACAAGCACTTAAATATATACACCAACTGCCAGTATACAAAAATAAGTAACTATACAGATTTATTTACAAAGGAGGTAACCACTTGTGAAGCAAGGAACCCTACATCAAAACGGGGAAGAGCGGGAAGCGGGAAATGCCCGGTGGTGGCTCCCGGATGCACGTCTACAGCCTGGGGGCGCAAAACATTAAAAAGGTGAGTGGACCCAAAAACAAAGTTTAGAAAATACATATGAACATACTAACCCCACTGTAAAGCAGTTATAAATATTAAATCATTCTCTTCTGTATATACGTACTGAAACCAATGCACTCATATATACATATATAAATATGTCAATCATGTTCATGGTCAACATCAATCTCTTAAAAGCATTGAAATCAGTTTAAAACTACCACTTAGGTGTACCCCTTTGTTTCCGTCAATTCCTGTTATCCGTCAATTCCCCTCGCATCACCATTGGTGACACGTCCTCGCAGGTCTCGGTGACACAAAGTCAATCCGAGCTGCAACCTCGCAGGATTCAGGGGACCTTGGTCAACCTGATCCGCGTCCTCGCTCCACACAAGTCCGGGTACCATAGAACTCGTGGGGCAACTGTCAAGCATGCTGACTAAACCGAAGACAACTGATAAAATCCGAAGGCAACCTAGATGTCCGTGGACATCATCATATCCGAAGGCAACATCTGTATATCTGGGTACTTCAGGTGGCTTAGAAAATAACAATAACAATAATAATAAGCAAAGTTTTGAAAGATCTAGTAAATAACTGAATTTCTGTTAAGGCTAGACTCTGCTGCCATTTATCTGATGTTTAACTAAAATTCTCTTTCTCTATATCCCTAAAGGATATTCCACTCGGCAGCATGCAAATCATAATATTTAAAAGCATGTCTCACTAATAAAACACTAGTCTTTGAATAAAACTTATTCAAGATCAAATACTGAAACTAAATTGCATAAATTCATTTATGAAAACAAAAGTCCACTCACGGTTGGTCCGAGCTCGCTGGACCTTTGGAAGGTCCCTCCTGCGGGTCAACTGGTGCCCGAGTGCCTGATTCAAATACCATAATAAAATATATTAATAAAACTGCTCGATATAAATATTTAAATAAAACCCTGACCCCCGGCTTCTAGAAGTGCGTGCATCAATTTAAAGTTATTCATATGCCCACATTACGTTCCTTTAATCCTAGGACATTCGTCCCGTGAATCTGGTTTCGATCGGACGGTTAGATTCGTCACGATCGACGATTCTAAACCCTTAACCCTAGGGTTTTACGATTTTGGAGTATCCGAGACTCCGATTCACGATCCGTCGAATCCTACACAATCCTGGCAAGGTCTAGATTAACATATCTGAAAGTGATCACGGCCCAACGGTTCGAAACTATTGAACCCGGATAACGCACACAATGTAAAAGTCCGCTTAACACTCAAACGACGTCCGAATTGAGATCCGCGAATTTCTACACGCTCGTGAGAATACGAGGATCATTCTGAAACTGAGAGTGGTCCCCTCCAGACTGCCCACGCGCCGCCACACGAGCTGGCAACTTGGGTGGCTTGAGAAATTTCCGGTGGCCGGAAAAACTCCAAACCGCCGGCCCAAACTCCTGACTTAGGTAAAACACCCAATTTGGAACCACTTTTGTTCTTGGACCTACCCCAAAAAGTGATCGGAAGTGGCCGGAATTACACTCTCAAAACCGGCTGAAACTTAAGTTGAGAATCGAACGATCTACGCTTGAAATTTCTAAATTCCTACCCAACCAGCAGCTAAGTCACGAAAAATAGGTAGGAATCCATACTTTGATCGCCCGATTTGGTAGCCGGACGACGGAGATTGAAGGTTGTGAAAATCGATTGAAACCGGCGGGTTTTTCTCCAGTTTCCGATGAGCTCCGAGGTCGGCGACGACTGAGGCTGGTCGGGAAGTGATGGGGGAAGGCTGACGGTTCGAACGGATCCGGTCTCGTGGCCGGTGGTTCACGGTGGCGGTAGTTATGAAAGAGAGAAGGTGGCGGGTTGAAACCAGGGGGGGGGGTTGTGTCGCGAGGAAGAAGAGTGAGGCAGGAGAGAGAAAGTCGGTGGTTAAAAAAATAGGAAAATTAGGTTTTAGTCAAAAAAAAACTTTCACTTTTGGAAAAAGCTAAAGCTTTTTCAAAAAAGACAGAAAAACCTTTCAACTTTCAAATCAAAGACATACAAATGTAAAGGATTCCTTAGGAAATCCAAAAATAAATAAGGGCAATTTTGTCCATTTTGGCTTCTTTTACAAAATTTCTCTCTCCTTTGTGTTTTTCCAAAGTCTCCCTAAAAAAATCCTGATCTCCAAAATTACCATTTTGCCCCTGGAAGTATTTTGACCGTATTTTCTTCGTTATAACTCCAAATCGAGCCCACTACGTGTCTACAGACTCGTTTCGTCGCGCTCTACGCAACAGTGCAAACAAAATTTCCAAACTCATTTCCGGTCAAAAAGTCAACTTCTCAATTACTAAAATAGTCTAAGGGCAAAAGTGTCATTTTTCCTTAATAAACTAATAGTTAAATATTAATTTAGTTTTGGGTTATTACAATCTCCCCCCCTTATAAAAATTTCGTCCTCGAAATTTACGTACCTGTCACTCGAAGAGGTAAGGGTATTGTTCCCGCATTTGGTCCTCGGGTTCCCATGTAGCCTCTTCCACAGTATGACTTCTCCACAAGACCTTTACAAGAGGGATCTCTCTCGATCGCAACACTTGCGTCTTCCAATCCAAATTCCGTGTGTATTTTATTCCTTTATTTTTTTTTTTTCAGAAAATCATAAAAAAAAACAAGAAAATTCAGAAAAAATGGGGGGAAATTCCTAAGTATGTATCGGCATGAATACTTCGTACTGAAAGTACAATAACGGATTTTGGTGTGAGGGAAAAATAACATTAGGGAACAAACCCTTGGATGATGCAAATGAAAACACTAATACACTTTTCAAACTCGAGACTCTTATTTATTGGATCACATTAATTCCGTATGGATATTTATATGATGCGGCCTTTTTCCGGATATTTCATGGAAGGAAATGCCGTCACGAGTCCGGAGGATTTTTTCTGGAATTTTTCCCACTTCAATTTGATTTTTAAATGAATATTTAATTGGAAATGAATAAAAAATTTGAAAAGGGGTGTGTGGCGGCATGGGAATGCACCGCGTGTCGCTAAGGTTTGCAGCTTCCCACTCCAGCTCCGCCACTTGGTATTCCGTGTGCATTTTATTCCCCTTTTTTTTTCTTTTCAAAAAATCGTAAATAATACAGGAAAATTCATAAAAAAATGGGGGAAAATTCCTAAGTATGTATCGGGATGAATACTCCGTTAGGAGTTTTGACTTATACTTCTCAAGGAGTTTTTGGTTAAATACGCTACTTAAATCCTTTTGTTAGTCAAAAGGGATTTCCAGATTATTGGATTGAAATTTTGTATTTTTGTTGTTGTTGCAACAATCGTAAACATTGCTTGACAAATCAGGAAATGTGGGGAAATTGAAAATGTTATTAAACGATCACCAGAGTATCTTAGAAGATCAAGGATGGCTCAGACCCGGTCTGACTGAAAGGATAATCCCTCATGCTTTGACAACACGCAACCTCCCTGGCATTTGGGTGTCTGTCATCTTCAATGAATGACTGCTTCGGGAATCGGAACCAGCAATTCCTCATTTCAGAACACATAGTCAAACCATAGGACCCAAAACCATCCAAAACATATGCACACAAGCTACAAAGGTCTATGGAACACAACCGTCTACAAACGTGTACTAAATTGGATCTTAAAAGTGCACCGATTACAAAAACAGACCTTCAAACCATAAACATGACTTAAAACCACAAACGTCGACAACATTAACATAAACAGACCTTGAATTAAAAACATTAAACATAAGGTAAACTTCCACTGTAGATACCGTGTCAGAGTAGTCACCCGCCAAGTCCCATGAGAAATACCACTCCCGATTACCCTCACAGTTAACGCTGTTAAGAAAAAAAATTCTGTCATCAGTTAGCTTTGCAAGAGTTGGAGGAGTCACCACGCCCGAAATTGTATACCTCATCAGTCAATTCATAATTGATGCCCTGCATGCTTGCATGTCAATTTTCTTCGTTTTTCTTAGATGGCACAACAATTCCATTGCATCCTCTTCTCCCTCCGTAGGATTCACCAGCACTAGCAAGCCAACAGTGTAGGAGGATTCCATATGCCCTGCCTTAGCCGGCACCCGGAAGTTGTTGACAACCTCATCAGCTTCTCTGTAAATGATTTCTGGATTGTTGTGTTCCTTGCACTTTTGCAAGAACTCAACAAGTTCTCTTGATAAAACCCGTACCATTCAGGATGCCACTGGTACTTCTCTACAGACACGGTTTGCCGAACCTCAGGATCATTCAACATTTCTTCAAATAACTTGCATGTCCCCGCCATGCTGTACAAATCTTCAGAAGAGTGCTTTGCAACCAAAAGCAGCACCTTAAACCATGCCAAGTCTGGGATGTCCATATGGGTTGTTGGAGAAGAGGGAGTGCAAAAGGTATGTGGAGGAATAATGAACGGTGTGTCTGGACAAATCAGGAAGAAATGTATATATTGGAACGAATCGTCGTCACCTAAACTATGGACGAAGACAACATTGGGTTTATATCATGTATTATTGGCTTCGTTTCCCAACCAGTGTGACTGAAAGGACTGTTCACACACCTCGATGATCCAGGTTTTGGCAGCAAATTGGTCTTCTCGCGGCTCCATGCCTAGGTACACCTCATGGGTGTTCGCATTTATGATACTACTAATCAACGTCAGTGGTGAAAAATTAAATATACTTTTTATGATAATGATTATGCAAATATCACATCACTACTTATGGAGGTAAAATTCGTTGCATTTTAACATGACCATGTGAATAATTTAACAGCCAAGTATGAAACTAAATATCATATCAACGCACCATTAACAGTACAGAAAATGAAAACAGTGTTTATTACATCACCAGTTATGAAGGTAATCTGAATTTAACATGAGCAAGTAAACAATTTCATCTTCTGAAATATGATATTAAATATGAACGCACCATTAACAGTTTTTTTTTTTTTTTTTTTTTTTTTTTTTTTTTTTTTTTTTTTTTTTTTTTTTTTTTTTTTTTTTTTTTTTTTTTTTTTTTTTTTTTTTTTTTTTTTTTTTTTTTTTTTTTTTTTTTTTTTTTTTTTTTTTTTTTTTTTTTTTTTTTTTTTTTTTTTTTTTTTTTTTTTTTTTTTTTTTTTTTTTTTTTTTTTTTTTTTTTTTTTTTTTTTTTTTTTTTTTTTTTTTTTTTTTTTTTTTTTTTTTTTTTTTTTTTTTTTTTTTTTTTTTTTTTTTTTTTTTTTTTTTTTTTTTTTTTTTTTTTTTTTTTTTTTTTTTTTTTTTTTTTTTTTTTTTTTTTTTTTTTTTTTTTTTTTTTTTTTTTTTTTTTTTTTTTTTTTTTTTTTTTTTCACCATCTCATCTTAAAGTAGTGTTGGAAGTATCACGAGTATACTAATATTCCATCTATTACTTATACCCGTTTACTCTTTTTATATTTGAGTCTTGTTGTAAAATTCCCCACTAACACCATTTAACCATTTAATGGTTTCTGAATTAATTTTCTTTATACGAGCATGCCACTGTTGGCAGATGATAAAATACTGTTGGGGTTGAGTGCATTGGTGTATTAAGAATCAGGCCTTTTCTTTTCAAGCATTCTTTAAGTACTTACATTCCTTATTCTTTTTCTTTTTCTTTTATATATATCTGGAAGTACCACCAATAGGAAAAATAACAAATCAGAATCAGCTTAAGTTTTTCAATAGGAAGATTATACATTACCAATAGGGTACAGAGGTTTTACCATGGTGGCGCCTTTCACTTGTTCTTTTCGTTGCTCGATCTTTGTATGTAGCGGGCAGAGCCCAAAACAAAGTCAAACAAGTTCAAGACTTGATCCCAAATTCTTTTCTCACACGCTTATCTTCACCAAGAATCACAACATATTATCAGGGATACAAGCTTCTTAGAAGTTACAACATTATGAAAGTTATACATTACCACTTACACGTACCATCAAAAGTTAAGTCCATGATTTCACATTCCTATCAAATATTCCACTCCCAAGTAGAAGAATTTATGCCCTTGATTTCACTTTCCTGTCAAATATTCCTCGTTCATAAGTAGAAACGTACATCTCAACTAGAAGAGGAAATTGCATCTAAATAAATGAGGTGACTGGAACGCTAGCAAGGAAAATCATAGGAATAACAATCCACGACTGTTCATGGATGATAATGAAAAGGGCAGAAGAAAAGGCAACCATCATGGTGGAAATAGAGATGAATAAGGTGGAAAGGCCTATTATCATCTTTGTTGGTAAGGATGTAAGGAAATCATCTTCAGCATAACGTGATGTAAGGATTCCCAAAAACATCAACACCGAAGTTGTGGAAGAAAAGAGGGATATAGCATCTGAAACTATAAAAGCCATAAACAACTTTTTATGCAGGAATATTGGGAAGCCTGTTTGTCCATTGTTTCCACCGGGAATTATGAATGTTGCAGCAAACATGATGGTAATAATGAGAGCACCTACAACTGTACATGAAAATGCAGTTTCTTTCTTCCATCTTTCTCCTTCCTTCACCAATTGGTTGTGGTTCTCGGAAAACATCTTATACTCCTTATTTAAAGATTCTTTAAGCAGGAGTCTTACAATATTTATCGACGTCCTACATTTTGTTGAACAAAAGATTCATATGAGTATAAGAGGTTATTATTCTAATTTTCCAATCAACCCTTGAATTTTTTTAAATTTGAGAGGCCATATAAACGTAAACCATTAGAGAACAGAGAAGACAATGTTGACCGTAAAGTAACTAAATAAGCCATCTTAGTACTCCCTTTATTTCTAGTTTAACTCCTTCGACTACATTTTTGGCTGCATTGGCTTTCGACTAGAAAATGTTTAAATTACATAAATTGGAACATTAGTTTTCTCCCACGATATAAGAAATGACTCATTTTAGCCACAACAATTTGTATAAGTTGAAAAAGTATAAATTAATACAAATTTTGTTCATGTTTGTTTAAAACAGTATCCATCTATTTGAGGTACTACTTTTTTTTAACACAAAACAATAAAGTATAGAAAATCATATTCAGTGAGGAAAAGAAAAACAGAATGTTCACAGTATATACATATGACAAATGTATATCTTCTTAGATGTCTTATTGATTTCTGATTTTAACTAGTTTGTACCAGGATGACCGATTCCGATTCCCATTACCACAATTTCGAAACAAAAAATGGTCTTTAGAATTGTACTAATTCATAAGAGGGAGGGAAAAAAAAAACTAACACTGAATTATATGTTCTGACCTTGAACCATTGTAGTTCTCTCTGCATTTTCAAAGCTGCACCTGAGATATTATCGAGCCTTGCTAATGGTGAAAGCATCCCTGCCACATGTAGCGCGCAATTGTTATCCGAATCTGCAAGACTTCCAATTACAGTCTTTGTTTTTTATCGAGTTTATAATAAATAATTCTATAAACTTTTTCTTGACGACATTCAATGGCAAACTGAAAGAGGTTCCTTCTCATTGAATTTGACGTCCACACGAGATTTGGTTTTGATTGCAATACACGGTCAATAAACTCAAACATTCCTAGCTTCGTAGCTCGGAAGACTGCTGCAGTTAGAAGCTCATTGATATCTTCATGTTTTATCACTTCACACATGTTATCTAGGAGTTCAAGGGCTTGAATATGGGCCAATTTCATTTCTCGTAGGCGTTTGATTCCTAAGTTGGCATTGGAAAAACATGTTATACGACTAATTCCAGAAAGAAAAAAAAATCCTTTAAAAATAATAATGGAGAACAAAGGAAAAATATGGAAACAATGTAGCATACCCAAAATTTCAAGGAGATTTGTGTTCAGCCCTTGCAAGAAACCTAGCACTGCAATGGAAATTCAAAATCTAAACATATGATGGGGATAGCTGTATGTATCTCTGTTAATTAGATGATGTATGATATGACAAAATGGGCAATTAATACGATTAATTGACTCCTAATTTAATACCAGGGCAACGTTCAGATAGTAATAGAATCGTTGTGGATCAAAATGAAAAGGTCCCTAGTTCTTGAAGCAGAAGCTAAGTTTCGTCAACTTTCTCCAATTTCTAATCCGTTTTTGACATGATTAAATAGCAATTATATTTCAATCTAAATTCTAAGCAATGAATGAGTGATGGATGACCGGTACACGCAAATGTTTTAAAAATTTTGCCTACCGGTAATGCGAGTCCAATAGCACCTACATATGTTGCGTTGGGGCAAACATAAGGCCATCTTCAATGGGGACTTAAATTAGGCTTTACCTCCTTGGGACTCCTAAATATAGTGTCCAAATAAAAAAGGGCGGTTATCTAGTGAGAACGCTTATGTGCGAACGTTATATGAGAACCAAATTCAACCATCCAAATTATCTGAACGGCTAAAGAGAAAAAGCAAGCTTACGGTAAAAATGGATAGGCTACAGTTCCCCTTAGCCCAAGTGTCAAGTCGCGCCTGTTTCGAAAAAACACGCTTTTCTTCTTCCTGACAGTGGCCAGTCGCGCCTTTCTTGTCAATAAATTTATGAATTTATGAACCAACCCTAAACACCCCAAAATACCTACCAGGCATAAATTTGTGTATTTCTCTTGTCGCAAAAACTCCCTGGTGTACTCTGTCTCTTTCGCTTCCTCCCTCATCTAATATTTCTCATTTGAACATCTGAGAAGATACGTTTCTCTCGAATTCCCTCTCTTTCAATCATATTAAAGTTTGCATGTTATATTGCATTTAGTTAATGTTTAAATCACTTAATGTTTAAATAATGTTTAGGATTTTAGGGAATTGATTTTCTGGGTAAGAGTAGTCTGTCTCTGTAGTAGTTGCGTTTGCAAAAATATAAATTGGCTTCAGTTGTTTTTTTGCGTCTTTTTCTAGTTTCTAGTAATTTGTTAAAGCATAGTAACTAATTTTTAAAGTTTTTCTGCGGTTTAAATATTATTTACTTTTTCCAAAAGTTGGGTTGTCTTTTTATTGCAAGTTTTTATGGTAATTTGTTGAAGTGTAGATTCACAGATGTTGGTTGTTCCTATTTTTTTTTGCATTGTGCTTGCTTGTTGTCTTTTCTTAAAATTCCAGGAACCTTCATGTGTTGGTCATTGTAATCCTGCTTTGCCCATCTAGTGGTGTGAGTGTATGGCATCATTTTAGGGATTTAATGGGGTTTGGAAAACAAGAATAAGTACCATTAGAAGTAGAACGCATAAGAGAAAATTGAATCTTAACTGTGAATATGAGATTATTTGGGATGCAGAAGGATCAATGCATCTTGTAGTAGGTATCAATTCTGTATGTTAATGTGTTGAAAATAGTGTTGGTAGGTATCAGTTTTGTATGTGAATGTGTTGAAAATAGTGTTTGTAGGTGAAAATTATGCATCTTAATGAGTTGAAAATAGTGTATCAGTTGTGCATCTTAATATGTTAAAATAGTGTTAGTAGGTATCCATTATGTATCTAAATGTTTGAAAATAGTGTTTGTAGGTATATTAATTTTGTATGGTAATGAGTTGAAAATAATATATCAGTTTCCATCTTAATATGTTGAAAATAGTGTTAGTATGTATCCATTATGTATGTGAATGTGTTGAAAATAGTGTTTGTAGGTATTCATTATGTATCTTAATGTGATGAAGATGTGTAGATAATATTGTGAGTAGGTATCACTTATGTATGTTAATGTGTTCATAATTTTGTGAGCAGGTATCACTTCTGTTTCTTAAGCAAAAGGTGTTTGTTGCAGTTATAAAATGGAATCTGAGTTTGAACTTTGTTTCCCGGAGTCAGAGGTCTATGCTGCACGGGTGAATTCTGAAAAGATTTAGAGAGTCGCTTATGAAAAGATTTAGAGAGAGCTGTTTTGGGTACCTGTTGGGCCTCCATAAAATTGCATTTAGTGGTCAAATTGTGCATGCTTTGGCACTCCAGCAAGTCGGAGGACTTGGTGTTAAGGACATGTTGGGCCTTAGTTATGCAATAGGGTCCAATGTTGCTCAATTCAGTGTAAAGGATTTTTGTTTGATAAGTGGTCTGAAATGTGGAACAGAGCCTGACATAATGTCCAGGGGGATGCTCATAATCGATTTATGAAAGCGCATTTTACCAACAGGGGTCACATTACTTGCAATGACTTAGAAAATGCATTCCTAAAGTCCGAAAGAGGAAGCGAGGACTTGTTCAAATTGGGACTGCTGTATTTTGTGGAGTTTGTGATAATGGGTAAACCCCAAAATGTGAAGACAAACGAGGAGTACTTACATTTGGTTCATAAAATGGACGAATTCAACGATTATCTATGGGGATCTATATCTTTTGAGTTTCTGCAAGATTCTCTGTTGTTTGCTCCCGGGAAGAAAGAGAGTGATGAAGTGAATGATGGGAAGGGAAAAGGACATAAAAAAGGCAGAAACGCGGTGCGGAGTTCAGTGAGAAAATGGAAGAAAAACGTGGAAGATGAGAAGCCTAAAAGAATTAACAGACCTTGATGGAGTATAAAGGGATTGAGCTATGCTCTCCAGGTATGATGTAGTTCAAAATTAGTGTTTGTAAAATTTTAGTTCGTAATTAAGTACTGACTTTGATAATCTATTTGTTGTAGATTTGGGTGTATGAATTAATTGTTGAATTGGGAATTCCCCCCTTAGATATTGTAAGCGGATCGAGGAACCTGCATTAGTCCCTCGAATTTGTCGGTGGGAATCCACGGATAAAGTGCCTGAGTTTAGAAAGCTGAACGCTTATATATTTCAAAGCAAACATGTGTGTAGTTAATAATTTATTTCAGTACTATGTTCGTTTCATGAGGAAAGCTGTTTAGTATTGTGTATGACCTGTTAACTTATGTGTTTGATAGCCTGTTATACTGCGCCTCTTACGACCAAGTCAATTGGAGATGAGCCAACCATATTTGAGTTGGGGATCAGATGTTCCTGAATGTGATGCACCTATTGTAGCTCCGCGAGTATGTAAGGACCTTGATGAGTTAAACTCTGTTGTGCAGCAGTTGAGGAATGAGGTTGCAATATTGCACCGTGAGAAGGGTCAGCTAGAGGAGAGAGTTTTACACTTGGAAAAGTGTACCAGTCATGCAGACGCGAGGAAGAATGGGGATGCTGGAGAGAAGATGAATAAGACTGAGGATGCTGGAGAGGAGAGGAATAAGACTGAGGATGATGGAGAGGAGAGTCAGAAGACTGAGGATGCTGGAGAGGAGAGTGATAAAATTAAGGATGGTAGAGTAGCCGAATTTAAAGAGCAGTGTGTACAAAGTGCTAAAGAAGAGGTGCAATATACACCCCCGGATATAAATTGGGATGATCCGGGTGTGGTGTGTGTCACCCTTGTTAAATTTCTTACGAATCCTACTCGAAAGATTGACATGTCCACTGCTGAAGGTGAATGTGGTGAAGATGTTATAGTTGGGGTCCGGCAAAAGAGGGGTCGGGGAAAGAGTGAGATTCTTAGCCCTGCGATGAAGAGGCGAAAGGCTGTGGTGAGGGAAACTTCATGGACAGGTCGGGAGATTCCCAATATTTCGAAGGACACAATTGCTGACCCCCTAAGGCCTGTTCCTCGTGATTCCCTTTTGGAGTTTGCGAAATTCTGCTGGGAATGGGGACAAGAAGAAAAGTAAGTTCTCACTGCCCGTCCATAGTGAAATGTAAATTGTTTATCATGATTAGCTATTGAGTGAATGGTGAAACAAAATTGATAATAATAATGATTCACAAATATAGTTCACATGTGCGGTTATGTGGAGAAGACAGTACGGAAGGTTCGTATAACTTCTTTGTTCGATTGCTAACCAAGGATGGTTGGTTGGATGACTCAGTAAGCATTGATTGATTTGGGATTTTGTCGAAATGCCTATGCTATGTAGTGATTTATTGATTTAATAATGGAAACAACCCTTTTATGTAGAACATAGACATGGCCTTGCTTTTGCTACAGGAGCGGCACAAGAGCTTTGGCAACTAGGTAGGTTCTGACTGAACGATACTAGACACCACTTTTCAGGTCTATTATTTCTTAAGCATTGTTTATTTTCAAATTTGGTATCCGTTATGATGCATAACTCGTGTGCCACTATGCAGAAATGTGCTGCCTTGGATTACAAGCAAATGAAGGCGTATGTGGGACAGGAGTACAGGCAGCACAGCAAGGGTCTACTGGGAATGGTCAGGGGCGAAGGGCCTAAGTTGGCTAAATCATGGTCGTCTGTGAATCGCGTTTGTTTGCCCTTCAACCTATAAAGGTAGAAGCACTGGATCTTGCTTGTTGTCGATTTAAAAGAGTGTGAGATAAGGGCATATGATTCAAAAGTAGATCTGTGTAGAACTCAAGCCATCCAACGGGCCGTGTAGCTGGTGGCAAAAATGATGCCCCTGTTGTTAAATGAATCTGGGTATATTGGCGATGGTCTACTTCTGAAAAGTGAGTGGCCAGTTATTCGTGTCATGGATGCACCCCAACAGTAGGCGGGTGAGTAATATTCCACCTAACCACATTGTCTTATGAAATGGATTTGTTGTACAATGAATCACAGCTTCTTAGCTATGTTTCAGGGGCGACTGTGGGATGTACATCCTCAAATACTGCGAATTTCTGACCTCGACTGTAGACCTGGCCAAGATTTACCATGACGTCATGCCCTTCTATCGGTTGAAGCTCGCTGTACAGTTGTTGCAGGGATATTGGTAGCTGTGATTCATTAGGAGATACTATAACTTGCAAAGTTTTTAACTGTGTGGGTGTAGTGTAGTATATGAACTTGCAAAGTTAATTTAACCGGCTGGGCAATTTTGTTGGTAACAGACCTTATATTCACGAGTTACAAAACAAACATTTCTATAATATAAGGGAAGCTTGAAGAGCTTTCTTCGCATGCTTGAGCGCATCTTTCCCCTTTATATTTTAGTAAGGTTTTGAAAAGGTAGTTTTCTTGTTTGTTAAGGAACAAAGTCTTCTTTATGATCCAACTCCCCATTTTCACTTAAAATTAAAGAATTAGTTTTTATATTCTGTTCAAATACAAGCTGTATGAAACCCTCAACACATATTGTTGACAGTATGCTGAACCCAAACCCTAAATGGTGCATGATTCTTTTCAAATGTCGAATAAATAGTAATGTATCTTGTTTAGGGCAAACACGATTGTGAAGTTAAGATGCAGGCATATGAAATGTTGAAGTTTGTCATTGACTAATTGTGCTGAAGGCTTAATTATATTTGTACATTTCCAAACACGTCTTATATGTAGCTGTCCGGATTACAAAATTACAAAACATATGCTTAAACCCAAAACATTTCTTACTTTTTCATCAATTTAACAGCCAAATTCAGAAATGATAGAACTAACAATAGTAGGAGGATTTTATTAATGCCCTTCAGTATATAGATTACTTCAGCATATGCATTAAGTACCTTCACATCCACCTGGTTTTGAATGTCAAATTCAGTTGGGGTGTTGGCTGCTATCACCCATTCATAGCCACTAAACCTTGTAGCTCCCTACAAAAAAAAACAAACAAAACTACATTTTTCAGTCTGGATTACAATGTCAGACCATATTCTTTTCTCTGGATCAGTTTTAGTTTGGGATTACTGTTTATTATATACAGCTTATTCAGTTTTACATACGAGGTTTGGGAAGATTATATTGACATATGTTGTGAAGCACTTCCAATACGGTCTGCCTAGATTCCTTTCGGAGTTGGAAATTAGCTTCACCATCTCAGCATTGCAGTGCCGACACCACTTTGCTTCAGTGTTTGATGAAGAAATCAACATCGCTTTGCCCAAAGTTGAAAATGAAGAAAATAGAAGACTTATACCCTTCCAATTATTTGGTCAAAACCCCCAAATTATTTTCTTCCAATTCTGAAAAGGAATTGAATTTTAATTTTTGGTCGAAACATATATGGATTTTGAAGTTTGAATTCGCCTTTTTTGGTCATGACAATTCGTGAGCGGGAAATTCCAAAGTTGAATTTTTTTTTAATTTTTTAACCCTAATGCATGAGCGGGAAAATAAAAAGCATTGTTGTGGAATTATTTTCTTCCAATTCTGAAAAGGAATTGAATTTTAATTTTTGGTCGAAACATATATGGATTTTGAAGTTTGAATTCGCCTTTTTTGGCCATGACAATTCGTGAGCGGGAAATTCCAAAGTTGAATTTTTTTTTAATTTTTTAACCCTAATGCATGAGCGGGAAAATAAAAAGCATTGTTGTGGGGAATTTTTAATAATTTTTTTACCCTAAACACTCCACAGTAAACCCTACACCGTAGCCTTAAGGCGTTTATCAAATGAAAATATAAGTAAGACAAAAATTAAAAGGAAAACGGGCGTGTGGCGGCATGGGAATGCGTCGCGTGTCGCTGAGGTTTGCAGCTCCCCACTCCAGCTCCGCCACTTGGCATTCCGTGTGTATTTTATTCCTTTTTTATTTCAGAAAATCTTAAAAAATACAGGAAATTCAGAAAAATGGGGGAAAATTCATAAGTATAAATCGGGATGAATACTTCGTACTAAAAGTACAATAACGGATTTTGGTGTGAGGGAAAAATAAAATTGGGGAACAAACCCTAGTGTTGGATGATGCAAATGAAAACACTAGTACACTTTTCAAACCCTAGACTCTTATTTGTTCGATCACATTAATTCCGTATGGATATTTATATGATGTGGCCTTTTTCCGGATATTTCAAGGAAGGAAATGTCATCACGAGTTCGGAGGATTTTTTCTAGAATTTTTCCCCCTTCAATTCGATTTTTAAATGAATATGTAATTGGAAATGAATAAAAAATTTGAAAAGGGACGTGTGACGGCACGGGAATGCGCCGCGTGTCATTGAAGTCTGCAACTCCCCACTCCAGCTCCACCACTTGGCATTTCGTGTGTATTTTATTTCTTCTTCTTTTTTTTTCCAGAAAATCTTAAAAAATACAAGAAATTCAGAAGAAATGAGGGAAAATTCCTAAGTATGTATCAGGATGAATACTTCGTACTGAAAGTACAATAACGGATTTTGGTGTGAGGGAAAAATAAAATTAGGGAACAAACCCCATTGTAGGATGATGCAAATGCAAACACTAGTACACTTTTCAAACCCTAGACTCTTATTTGTTCGATCACATTAATTCCGTATGGATATTTATATCATGCGGCTTTTTTTGGAATATTTCATGGAAGGAAATGTCGTCACGAGTTCGGAGGATTTTTTTTGGAATTTTTCCCCCTTCAATTCGATTTTTAAATGAATATTTAATTGGAAATGAATAAAAAATTTGAAAAGGGACGTGTGGCAGCATGGGAATGCGCTACGTGTCGCTGAGGTCTGCAGCTCCCCACTCCAGCTCCGCCACTTGGCATCTCATGTTTTTTTTTTTTTTTTTTTTTTTTAGAAATCATAAAAAATACAAAAAAATTCAGAAAAAATGGGGAAAATTCCTAAGTATGTATCGGGATGAATACTTCTACTGAAAGTACAATAACGGATTTTGGTATTCCGTGTGCATTTTATTCCCTTTTTTTTTCTTTTCAGAAAATCGTAAATAATACAGGAAAATTCATAAAAAATGGGGGAAAATTCCTAAGTATGTATCGGGATGAATACTCCGTTAGGAGTTTTGACTTATACTTCTCAAGGAGTTTCTGGTTAAATACGCTATTTAAATCCTTTTGTTAGTCAAAAGGGATTTCCAAATTATTGGATTGAAATTTTGTATTTTTGTTGTTGTTGCAACAATCGTAAACATTGCATGACAAATTCAGAATGTTAAGGGGAAAAACCCAACACTTATTTTCCCCCCTTAAATTCGATATTTAAATCATTATGTTAGTGAAAATAGAATTTTGGATTTCTTTATTAAACTATTTTTTATCTTTCAAATATAGTTTCAAATGCAGGACAAATAAGGAAATGTGGGGAAATTGAAAATGTTATTAAACGATCACCAGAGTATCTTAGAAGATCAAGGATGGCTCAGACCCGGTCTGACTGAAAGAATAATCCCTCATGCTTTGACAACACGCAAGCTCCCTGGCATTTGGGTGTCTGTCATCTTCAATGAATGACTGCTTCGGGAATCGGAACCAGCAATTCCTCATTTCAGAACACATAGTCAAACCATAGGACCCAAAACCATCCAAAACATATGCACACAAGCTACAAAGGTCTATGGAACACAACCGTCTACAAACGTGTACTAAATTGGATCTTAAAAGTGCACCGATTACAAAAACAGACCTTCAAACCATAAACATGACTTAAAACCACAAACGTCGGCAACCTTACCATAAACAGACCTTGAATTAAAAACATTAAACAGAAGGTAAACTTCCCCTGTAGATACCGTGTCAGAGTAGTCACCCGCCAAGTCCCATGAGAAATACCACTCCCGATTACCCTCACAGTTAATGCTGTTAAGAAAAAAAACTTCTGTCATCAGTTAGCTTTGCAAGAGTTGGAGGAGTCACCACGCCCGAAATTGTATACCTCATCAGTCAATTCATAATTGATGCCCTGCATGCTTGCATGTCAATTTTCTTCGTTTTTCTTAGATGGCACAACAATTCCATTGCATCATATTGTCCCTCCGTAGGAGTCACCAGCACTAGCAAGCCAACAGTGTAGGAGGATTCCATATGCCCTGCCTTAGCCGGCCCCCGGAAGTTGTTGACAACCTCATCAACTTCTCTGTAAATGATTTCTGGATTGTTGTGTTCCTTGCACTTTTGCAAGATCATGTATTATTGGCTTCGTTTCCCAACCGGTGTGACTGAAAGTACAGTTCACACACCTCGATGATCCAGGTTTTGGTGGCAAATTGGTCTTCTCGCGGCTCCATGCCTAGGTACACCTCGTGGGTGTTCACATTTATGATACTACTAATCAACGTTAGTAGTCAAAAAATTAAATATACTTTTTATGATAATGATTATGCAAATATCACATCACTACTTATGGAGGTAAAATTCGTTGCATTTTAACATGACCATGTGAATAATTTAACAGCCAAGTATGAAACTAAATATCATATCAACGCACCATTAACAGTAAAGAAAATGAAAACAGTGTTTATTACATCACCAGTTATGAAGGTAATCTGAATTTAACATTAGCAAGTAAACAATTTCTTCTTCTAAAATATTATACTTAATATGAACGCACCATTAACAGTACAGAAAATGAAAATAGTGTTTTATGATATCACCAGTTATAAAGGTAATCTGAATTTAACATGAGTAAGTAAACAATTTCATCTTCTGAAATATGATACTAAATATGAACTCATATCACCAGTAAAGAAACAAAACAATGTGCTTGTGGTACTTATAATGCAAATATCACATCACAAGTTGTGAAGGTAACTTACATTTGAACATGACCAAGTCAACAGTTTCATCTTCGCAAATATGATACTAAATACAAGCGGTAAAGAAAATTAAAATATCGTATATTATACAAATAATGCAAATATGACATCACTAGTTCTCAAGGTAACTAAAGTTGTAGCTTCCCACTCGAAATCAACATTGGCATTTTGGCGGGTAAAATGAAAATGAGGATTGCTCTATAAATACCAATGTAAGAGTATTTTACCATTGCACCTCCACTTGCTCCAAACAAGCCTAAACTCAGAATGGGTTTCCCTACAAAAATCCCCCCCATACTTATAACAACTCCAGCAAAAAATGCAGAACCTTTGTCATAGAGGAATAACAAAGCTGAAGATATTGTTGATGGAGCTGCGTAATCCATAAACTTTTCATCTGAGGACCACGATGATGTACCTCGGATCGGCAAGATGCGGTATGATGCGTTGATCATGGAAATCAAACGCCTGAAGATACGTCTAAGATGGTATCAAGAAACATTGGGGAAGGAGAAAAAGAAAGCGAAATTCCACCTTCGATCAATCCAAATAATGAAAGTGAGGGTTAGGCTTGCGAAAGGAAAAGGTGTTCGAAAGTTAAGTACTTCGAATGAGTCTGTTTAGATGAGGGAAGCAGAAGCACGCAAAGGGTTCAAGCTGTTCCGTGAGTTTGCAAGATGTGTTGTCCCAAGCTACAACTGGGACGGGATTGCCATGGAGTAAGCCATCGCTGGAGAAAGTTCATTTTGGGGGGTTTTCAGTATTTTGTTCGGAACAAATGTGTGGTTCATTTTGAGTACGTTTTTTGGCATTTTTTCTGGGCTCCTGAAGGTGTAAAAACTCTAGTTTGAAGTGTTCTTACTTCTTAGGTAATGTATCCAACTGTAAGATGTGAAGGACAACTGTAAACAAATGGGGAAACTGTTTTGGGTTTTTTAAGCGTACTTTTGTCTACATAAATTGTTGTGCTTTTATGAAGTTTGTTTATATTATTTTCTAATCACATATTTCTTTGTGTTATTTTATAACGCCTAAAAGGCATGGAATAGAAACAACAGAGGTGGATTTGTTGATAATCCATGTATTTATGTCGCATAGTAATTAAGTAATGGAGGGTTGACTTTATCTCGTTCGTTTAGGGATGGCAATGGGTTGAATCGGGGGTGGGTATGCCATTTCCATGGCCCGCCCCATTAGGGAAGAAAAAACCAATTATATAACTATTCTGTTGAAAATAAAAAAGAGTAGTAAGACAACATAATGAATATATAGAATACATACTTAGAAGACAATATAACAATGTTTATATATATGTTGGAAGTTAACTAAATAAATAAGTAGTGTGGCTTAAGATTTGTATACAATATAATCTACTAATATAAAATATAAAACTTAGTCGATACTCTGTATGTTCATAGCATATTTATATATGAGGTAAATGCTCATGTGTGTTTCCATTTTGGGTCATTTGAATAAAATAATGCAGCTATGCAGAAAAATATATTAGTAAATACAGTGCTGAATAAATTTATTTGGAAGTCAGTTTTTGTTTCCCTCTTTTTTAAGTAATTGGGTGAGTTTTGAGGTTTGAGCATTTATTTGATCACTTATATGGTAGCTAATTATGTTTGTAACTTGGCGTTTTAGAGGTTTGTTTATTGGTTTCGAATATATAATTTTAGCAATGAAATAACAAGAACCATACTGTGTCTGTTAATTGAAAGGAGAAAATATAGAAATATTTTTCCGAACAATTATATATGCAGCAAATGAAACTAATACTTGTGTTCTTATAAATTAGATAATGAACACTAAGGAAGTATACTTCTAATTTTTGCAAAATATAATATTACGGTTCAAAGGAAAGCAAGATATCACCATATTCTAAAGATGGAGTGTTCACTCTGTATTGTCACATCATATGAAATTAAGTACGAAATTGAGTTTTCATAATCACTTTGGATGATTTATAGCTTCCCCTAGTTTTGTAATGGCACAAGGAGCTGGAAGCAATTTTCCGGGAAATTTTCCGATTTTTCTCCTATTTATTACCATTTAAAAATCATTTTGCATTAAAAAATTTAAAACATAAAGAAATAACGCACATGGCGACTGCTGACCGCATCCCCCTTCAGTAGGTGCACACGTGTATGCCAGTGGCCATTGCCACATCCTTCCTTTCCGTGTGAATTTAAATGAATATTGCTATTTTCTTACAAAATTCATAACTAAATATACAAAATCGGGAAAAAATTTCGCAAATTGCTACGAACTCATTCAAACTTGATAAATTAAAATTCAAGTGTGTGCTAACATTTTTACTAATCATGTGAGGCTCCTGTGATTAACTAAATCAAATACCTTGATTACTTTTATATAAAATAAAAAAATTAAAGTGATGGGACAAAAGGAGAAAAAACAAAATGGAAATCTTCCGGACATAATATATAAACATTGTGTTATGCCTATGGGATACTCATGCCTTACATCTCTCTTCTTTCCAGTCGTCTTTTTTGCATACAAACCTTCAGCCGAATCCCCCAATCTGACGATTTTTTCAACATGTCCGCCAGTTCAAGCGCCAAAGTGAACTAGGGGGACTCCGATGGCTCATGGGAATATGCCCCTGATTATCCAAGGTCCCCTCCACCACCGCTGCCTCTTCCAACCTCCTCCACAAGCGAGGGGGACTCCGATGATCCCGCTATGGAAATAAATGATATGAAGAACAAACTGGAACACAACTCTTCCTTGGTCCATTATTGGACTCAAAAGTGTGTCGGAGCTGAGCAGAAGTTGGCTTATTTGACTTGGCATGTTAACAAAGCCTGTTACAGAAAAGAGAAGCAGAGAATTCGTGCCCAAAGAAGAAAGCACACAGTAGAGGATTTGCATATGACAGAGAAGGATGCTACTTACGAATCTTTGAGCATCCACAAATAAGTCGACAACCAAGGCCAGGCAATGTTTGTGGCTTTCAACGAAGGTTTTGAGAAATTCCGACGATTTGCTGCAGATGTCCACAAAGATATTGACTGGGTCGCCATAACCCTGTCTGCTACACAGGAAATCATCTCCAACGGTGCATACTCAACAGAGTGAGGCCACCAACCAGCAAAAGGCAACGATAATGACTAGTGATAGCCATATCAATCCGTAGGCAATCCTTTAGCAGTTGTTTGTTTTTGTTAATGCCTGATCTGGGTTAGTGTTTAAATGTGAATGCCCGATCTGGGTTACTGTTTTAATGTTAATGCCCGATCTTGCTTATGTGCAGCTTATTATTTCGTTTTACATTGCTATCAAACCTAGAGTTCAATCACAGTTTGATCACTAACTTCCAGATTAGAAGCGTTCATTTCGTAATAATGCTCACAATTTTTTGTTTAATTCATTGTCGGTGGGGAGACAATTTGTTTCAAGATTCTCTGACACAGATATTCGTTGGTTGAGACTTTACAGAGACATAGTGATTGTTTCAAGATTCTCTTACTGACACATAGTCATGGTTTCAAGATTCCCTTGGATATTTTCATATTCATTGCAACCATTGCAAATTTGTGTAGAAAACCCCTTCCATGATTCCCCCAAACTCATTCTCCTTCAAACAAGGACTTCAGGTTCTGAAAATCCCAAATCCCCAGAGGACATTCGGGACATCCACCTTCAACAAAAGATGGATCCGAAACATCGAGTTATGCATTGAAAGCATGGTGCCGTTCAAGACCAAAAAAGATGTAAATAGGTATCAATAAATGTTAAAACTTCGGGACCATAAATGAAATCAAACTCTTCTAGATAGTTATATGTTTAATAAACCATAGTTCAGTATCTATGGACATGAGGCATTTGCCTAAGATTCACTAACGCTTCCAGATACTTTCAAAAATGATGTAAATAAGTATCAATAAGTGTTCGAACTCTGAGACCATACATGAAATCAAACTCTTGCATAAATGACTCTATCATAGTAGGTTCACTGTCTTGCGTGCTCTGAGTGGGCTGCAAATTCTCACCAACTGGACCACCAAATTTTGTGTTGGAAGATGAAGAGCTGCCACATCGGAAAAAAATAATAATAAACATCAACAACATAAATTTCAAAGAACAATATAATACATATTCACTTACAGGCTCGCAAGTTTTGGACAACTCCGTCTATCATGATCAGTCTTCCTACATTCAGTGCACCAACGTTTATGTCGTTGCACTGCGTTCTCTTTTTCTTCTTTAACTCTTTTCGCACGCCCTTTTACTTTCACTCGATGTGGATCTTTGATTCTGAGTTGGGGATAACTTGTTCCGACATCTCCATTGGGTTCCTCGACATGAGCTCTTGATGACACCAATCTTGTAAGCTTCCCACGAATGTCCTCAAAAGATTTTTCCAGCAACTCAAAACCTTCATCACACAACAAAGCCGAATCAATTAAATCACTTGCAACTTTGCAAACTTTCGATCTCTTAACCAAAAGTAAACCATCAACGCAATCGTTAACTTCTTTGTGACAGGACCCGCCCCGAATTTCTCGAAACCTGGGACGAATCCTGTGGAATTCCCGACATCATCCGATGTCGGGCCCACTCACTAAAACTGTAACCACCTTTTCCAAAAGAAGTAGGGGCACGAGACTTTCTGCCGAAATTTCGGCAGAGTTTCCCTTATACATTGAACATTTCCCAAAAATTTCAACCTGCATAAAAACACATTTAATATCCCAACAGGCAGCACGCACAATATAATTTCATGCAATTCACATAAATGGCCTCCAGCCTTCAAATGATTCGAAACAAAATTGCCAGCAATGTTCTTAAATCAAATTAATGCATATAACAATCTCAAACTTATTTATGAACGCCTACTGTAATCAACATAGAATAAAGTTTAGCCCGTGGCTGCACCTAGGCACTACCCTAGGCTGCCTACGTACCCTTACAAAGGGATCAAGCCACACATAGTTCTTTCCTAAAACCATTTTTCTTTAAATCACAACTCAACAATCACAATCTTTAATTTATCTCCCAAAATCTCCCTATACGTCGGAACATCCAAGGCCACGTATAGGGCCTATCAGCACGCCGGATAATCCTACGACACGTTATCTCCCCATATGCCGGTACTACCAACGCCGCATATGGGGTCTGTCAACACGCCGGCTACTCCTACGACACGTGCGACCTCACAAGCTTATCACAATATCTCCCCATATGCCGGTAACACCAACGCCACATATGGGGTCTGTCAACACGCTCCGTCGTTCATTTTCGAAGTATCCGGGACTCCGTTCCACGATCCGTCGAATCCTACACTATCCTAGGAATGTCTAGATTGACATATATTAAATTAACGATGATCCAACGGTTCAAACCTATCGAACCCGGATAACACACAATATGAGATGTCCAATCGACGATCAAACGATATCCAAATTGAAATCCGAGCACTCCTACGCGCTCATGAGAACCTGGAGATTACATCGGGACACAATGCCCTTTTTCTACAGTGCCCATGCGCCGCCACACGCGCTGGCAGCGCGTGGGTGTCCAAAGCGATTCGCATCGCCGGAAAATCTCCAAATCACGGCTCAAGACTCCCTACCCTAGGTATAACACCCTATTTGGAACCACTTTAGTTCTTGGACCTACCCCAAAAAGTGACCAGAAGTGGCCGGGATCTCATCCCGAAATCCGGCCAAATCTTGGGTTACAAATCGAGTTGCCTACGCTAGAAATTGATCAATTCCAACCCAACAGACAGCTAGATCATGGAAAATACGTGAGAAAGCATACCTCACTCGCCTGAATCGGTGGCCGAAGGAGGGAGAACGAGCCGACGAAAGTTCACGAAAAAGTTGTCCAACACCGCTTGTTTCTTGGCTGTTTCCGGGGACTACGACAGCGGATTGAGGAGGAGAAAGGCTGGAAGAGGGAAGTGTGGCAGTTCTAACGGAACCGTTATTGCTTGAATTGGTGGCCGGAATTGGGAGAAATCGCCCCTTGAAGATGGCTGGTCAAGCTGCTCCCAAACTGAAGAAATTCTGGGTTTTTAAAAACTGAACTTCTAAATATTTACGGTTATGCCACTGAACTTCTTTTGATCGCCATTTCTTCGTTACAATTCCGATTCAAGCCCACTACGTGTCTACGGACACATCTCACCGTGCTCTACGCAACAGTATAGTCAAAATTCCCAAATTCCCTCCTGGTCAAAAAGTTAACTTTAAACCTAATAAAATATTCTATGGGCAAAATGGTCTTTTATCTGAATAAATTAATATTTACCAATTTATTTAAGACCGGGTCGTTACACTTTGCGATTCTTATCTTATATTACATCGTTTTTCGCACTTTGAAGCCATCGTTTCAATATGTACTTGTCTGGCAAGTGCTCAACCTGCTTCATTCTTAAGAATGCTACACAGGATACCCCAAAATTCAAATCCTTTGCAGCTGCAATAAGCTTTATCGACATCTTTATCATGCACAAACTCCTTCATCCGTGTCACCCCCGCATGCTTTCTGACATTTACCGGCTCACTTACTTTGTATCTGCAGTGCGTCTCATCTGCTCTACAAGTTCGAACAAGCATAAAAGACTTCTGAAGTCTTCCTTCTCAAACATTTCCAGAATTTTCCGAGTGTATATGCGTCCCATTTGATGTTGCACTGGTGTTTGAAATGGCAGTGGAGGTTTTTCATTGTTATCAACATGATCAGCCATTAACTCCTTGTGTCTTTATGAAGCAAGAGCTCTCTCAAAACGTACAATGAATTCCATCAATGTGTTTTTCCGGTTAATATATTGTTTGAAAAATGAATGACAGCTTTCGGCCCGTTGACTACTTGACATCTTAGCCGAAAACACATGTTTTACATATGATAAAACCTAATTCTCCCGCATAGCATGAATTGAGCTCAGCCATGCATGGTCTTGCAGCCCATTGTTTGTGATGATTTCCTCTCATTTCGCATCAAATTCTTCTTTCTTGTCCATACCCCATATGCATTTTGTACATTTCCGAAAACATTCTCCAATGCCGGGTTTCTCTGTAATCTTATTCAAGATATGCCATATGCAATATCTATGGAATGTTGTCGAGAGAGTTACAGCAATTGCCTTTGACATGGCTGCATCTTGATCAGTGATGATCATTTTGGGTGGCTCACCCGGCATGGCTTTCTTGAATTCCTCTAAACAACCATACAAATGAATTCGTGGTTTCACTAGTTAGGAATATACAACCAAACAACACTGTCTGCCGATGGTTATTAACGCCTAACAAAGGCACAAAGACCATTCCATAGCAGTTCGTGTTGAACGTCGTATCAAATATCACCACATCTCCAAAAAAACCCATAAGCTCGTCTTGACCTTGCATCTGACCAGAAAACATTACCCATCCTTCCTTCCGAATCTCCTCCATCTTGAAATAAAAGGATTCATTCTTTTCTTGCATAGCCATAAAATGCTCCTTAAGCAGCTCTGCATTATGGCCAATCACCTCTCCATGCACGTCCCTTAGATAATTATAGACATCTCTCTTAACAAACCCAACATTTTCCAATCCCCTACTTGCACTTCAAGAAGGCTTAACTATTTATGTACCGGAATATTAACTTTGCTCATATCTGCACTATAGACCTTTGTAGACTCTGTTAAGTTACGGTGAGATCTCAATAGATGGACTTTATCAACTGTGGTCATGTCATGGTTGTGTACCTCATTGAATCCTACAACAATATACTTATTCTTGTCTTTCACCTTCAATATCGCAAGTTTAACCTTGCAACCAGTTCGAGTACAACCTCGTCGTCTTCTCTTACGACTAATAGGGCTTGTCAACGCATACCCCTGTTTACAACATACATATTCCTTCCTTGTTACCTCTCCTGTCAGTGTGCACGTCTTCGTTGTAGAACACCAAATGCCAAATCCGGCTTCCACAGCATACATATTATAGAAATTGAACACATCGTCACAGCAATCAAATTCAAGTCTCAATTTTGATTTCAACTTTGACCTTACTTCCGGTGTCACCTGTCCTTCACACTCTATTTCACAGTTCTTGCAATTTAACCCTGAATTCACCACCATCATACCAACATTGGCACATGCTTTCAAAGAGCTTTAAAATATATATATTAACTAACATATGACATGAAAATGATTCCCTGGTGAAATATTAAAGACTTACATACAAACTAATGTAACTCATGATTATACCCAATAATAAACTTGACAAATACAGTATAAAGAGCTTCAAAATATATATATTAACTAACATATGATATGAAAATGACTCTCTAGTGAAATATTAAAGACCTACATACAAAATGATGTAACTCATGCTTATGCCCAATAATAAACTTGACAAATACAGTATAAAGAGCTTTAAAATATATATATGTTAACTAACATATGATATGAAAATGATTCTCTGGTGAAATATTAAAGACCTACATACAAACTAATGCAACTCATGCTTATGCCCAATAATAAACTTGACAAATACAGTATATCACTTACCTCGTGAGTCATTTCCAATTTCAAAATTTCTACAAATATGACAATGTCGCCCTTTTAGATCTGGACGTCAACCCCAAACACTTTTCTTCTTCCTCAACCCCTATTTCGACCGTGCTTAACGATTTCAAAACCAAGAGAACAGCACAACGGTCGCGGTCACCAGTTTCCAACTCAAGACGTTGCTCAAGGATTGACGAATGTTCCAACCAGAAAGACCGAGCCACAAAGATGATAATATAAAATACATGAACACTATCTTTCGCCTGAATGAGAAACCCAGAAAAATGAGGGCTATACTTCTATGTTCATCTGGAATCGAATAAGGAATAACAGGGCGCTCTCTCTTTAGTGCTATTGGTCTTGCTCAATCAAAGCTAATAAAAAAATTGGCCACTTAGTTTGAACAAACCAAACAGCTGGATTGGAGGGGACGCCTGTTTTCAACTCGACGTTTTGGAAGGAGGAGAGAGAAGAAGGCCTCGTTTTAATACAACACTTACACTTACAATTGCTTTTGATGCAACCGTTAGATTAGATCCAACAGTGTTCTCACGTAACGTTCGCACATAAGCATTCTCACCTGATCCAAACCGAATAAAAAAGCATCTCCAATGACAGAATTTTTGGACTCTATATCATAAAACTGGCCAGAAATAATCCTAAATCTGTAAACTCGCATAGAGCCTTAGAGCCCCAATGGGCCCTCACTATAGAATGACTCCTCCACTTGATGTTAATAGTGGGATGTATAAACCCTAACCCACTAGGTGTTGCATCCGGAACCACCCAAAATGAGTTTGTGGGTCCGAGTTGGATTTTCCTGGGAGTTGGTTGAGGTCCAGGGCCCGTAGAAACTAAATATTGGCCTTTTGGACAGTCTCTTTTGTCATGTCTTTTCGTACAGTTCATGTAAATTCATACCATATTAGTGTAGGTTGGTTTCCTTCGATTGTCTTCAAACCTATGTAATGATAAATTCTTATTTGCTCATGAACATTACTTATTCTTCACTATACTTATAATGCAAGAAGAAGAGAAAAAAAAACAAAAAAACAAATTGGGTAGTACAGTGATTAACCTCAATCAATATATTTCGAATTACTATGTCTATTACGTACAGTTATGGATATCTCTTGTCATAATTGATTTGCATATATAGCTGTAGCCTGTATATGCATGTCCCCTGATGGAGTTGATATCCGTTGTCCTTAATTTCATATACCCTTTATAGTATTTGACACCTGTCCAAACACTTAACTGAACTTTAATTTTGTTAAATTTTATTATTTTTAGTGCTGTTATTTTCACCCACCTATCCAAACATTCATCAATCTAAGTGAAGGGCCATCAGCCTAGAATTATCAACTAGGTGAAGTAGCCAATAGCTACACCACTAGGAGGCCAATTAGCCTAATTCTATGTACCTAAAGTGTTGTACTATTCTCCTCCAGATTAATAAAATCACTATGTTTCAACTATTGTTCCTATTTTCCTAAACCCCTTAAACACATAAACCAACAATAGTATCATAGTATCACATCACATTCTAAATTGTAATTGTAAGCGGAATTTGAGTCGTGTTCCACTCAAAAATGCCAGAATTTGAGTCGTGTTCCACTCAAAATGCATAAGGATTAATGCTTCTATCGAAAGTACCCCATAGTGGTCTTTAGCAAAGATCAAGTATTTTCTTGCTCTTTCTAACCATGCATTCAACCATTTTTATATTTCCTCTACTTGCAGCAAGAGCAAGAGCTGTCCAACCATTATTATCTGTTATTTCCAAGTCTTCCTCTGACATCAACTGCACCAACACTTCCACAATATGCTCGTGCTCTAGATCTGTTGCCATGCAAAGAGCTGTCTTGTTGGAGTACGAATGTCTTGCTCTTATTGCATCGGGATGTAGGGTATGAAACTCCTTTGCTTCATTCCAATCCCCACGCCATACAGCATCGAACAACGGCTTATACAGACTCTTGTCATATCCTGCACCAAATTTGTGTTAATTAATTAATCATTTCATATAACATAACCCATTTATTTTTTGTTTTAATAATTGAAAAAATTGTACCCATGCATAATCCATTTTTTTTCTTATGACTTTGACGGCCACTATTTGCCGACATCATGAATGGAATTGCTAGGAATATGACTGTGTGGTAGATTGGGTAGTTTTGTGATTCATGGAGGAAATTAGCTAATTATAAATAAATAAATAAATAAAGCTAAAGCGGTAAATTGACACCGTTAGATTTAATTTCCACATTGTTGCACATGTAATTTGCATAAGCATATATATTTCTTTTTTATATATACAGTAATTCTAGGGAGACCAAAATGTAAAAGAACAAAAGTAAACTGATTAGGAGTCCTTACATCAGTGCTAGTATAAGCAACAGAAATTGTGGTCTTGTTATATATATATATATATATATATATATATATATATATTTATTTATTTATTTATTTACACTTCCATTACGGATGATTCCGATAACAATGGGTGTATATTTAACATACATCCCATTATACACCCCCACTGTGGATGCTCGGGAGAGGTTTTGCAATTTCTGTTTTATTTACTATACCTACTTGAGTGAGGAACCACTTGTTAAAGACTTGTTCAAGCAAAGGGGGTCCGCGAAGGGTGGTGAGGATTATGTGACTTACCATTTGCTCGAAATCTGCGCCATATATATATATATATATATATATGTGCCTTATCCAGGTCACCCACCAATCTCAGTTGCCACTCCAATCTCAGTTGCCAATAGATTTTCTGACTTGGGACTTAGGTATATTCCAATCTCTAAAGTCTAATTGTTCTTTGCTACTAGAATCATATTCAAAATGTTCTTCATTAACTATTTCTGGGAGTTGGCTTATACTGGCTTGGGAGCTGCTTGAATTACAAGGTTTTGTTCTAAATAAACGACTCATAACTACTCAAGTGTTTGGGGTTGGCTTTTAAGAAGAAGATGAACAGGGGCTTCCTAAACTGACCGTTTTCTCAACAAGAAACTTATTAAACACACTCAATTTTCTGTCTCCTGCCCACCTAACAAACCCTACCCTCGGGATTTACTGTTTTTGGAAAAAGGACTCACGGGTCAGACCTTAGAGTGAGAGTAACAAATGACTCGAGGAAGAAATGGGAGAAAAAGAAGAAACTGTAGAACTTCTACTCAGAAGCGTAAACCAGCCACTTGGGCGGGGATGAGTAGCAGACTTAGACAAAGACCGTAACTCTGACGGCTCTGATACCAAAGAAGGAACGGAAGCAGAAAATAAGAAAAATGGCTTACAGAAAGGCGTAAGGATATAAATGCAATTTAAAATAATGCATATATGAAATTACTCAAGATAAAGATAACTGAAGATAGATTTTATTCATACTCACAAATAGCAACTTCAAGATAGCAACTTCAAACTTCAGATACAAAACACTCAGTGTTTACAAAGATGATTTCTCCAAAGTGTTCAGAGAGAATCTTTAAAAAACTGGAATGTAAATTGTAATCTGTCTTGCAACTGAGGCCAAGGCCTGCTTAAATAAAGAAAGCAACTATGGTTTACAAAGGCAACTAGAGTTACTTAGAAAAGTAACTAGGGTGACCGAAAGCAACTCTGATGATAACTAGGCAACTGTAGAAGCACGGGAGCAACCTGATTCAACTTTCAATTATGTCTGGTAATAATTTGAGCAACTTTTGACTTTTCTTTAGTAGCTTTTCTCTTTTACTTTGTAACTTTCTCCTTTTACTCATGGTGAATTGTCGGAGGGCAATGATGAAAGAGGCAGAGGGTAGCTGGCTGCATAGAAAGATGCTTTAATCAAATATCCTCCGGGGCAACTATTGTGTCGGCAACTAGGGGCAATCATTGTGCTGGCAACTGTAAAACTTAGTCAGAATTCAAATCATACCCATCATATGGGTCTTGACTGTCTTCAAACCAGGACTTCTTTTTGGCAGGGCTTTGCATGGGCTGGCAACTAGACGATGAAGGGGAATCATTGTCTTCATCATCATCCATTTGGGAGGCTTGGATAATTAACTGGCGGGCAATTTCTTGGAGTTCAGACTTCGATTTTCCTTCGACTGAGAGGGAAGATCGGGTCGAACCAGTAGGGGAGACTGGATGCTGAATAGGCTCTTGGGGCAGATCATTGTAAACATATTTGGCAATTCTTTCAACTTCAAATTTATCCCACCATTTGACAGAGAATTGGCGGGCAAGGACTCGGGTATCTTTGTCAACTTTGTAGGACCATTTGAGGATCCAAGGAACTTTATATTTGGCTACAAAAAGCATTGGTTTAGGGAAAAACAAATCATTCTTGGCGAATTTGGCTTTTTAGTGTAATGGCGAATTAGCTCATGAACTGAGATAGGTAAAATTTCATCAACTGGGCCGTGCTTTTCCCACCAATGGAGGAACCAGAAGGGAAAAGGACTTTTGAACTTATTGTCAAAATTAATAAACCAGGAGTGACTAAAATCCTCGGATTGATGGAGGAAGATAGAGTACCAGGCTTCAATATAATCAGAATAATTATACTGTAATTTTGACTGGAGGGTTTTTAACTCATAGGGATGGCCACTGAAGAATTCTTGGCTTACAATCTTATGGATATACAGAGAATGGTAAAGGATGATCTCAGGATGATCTTTATCCCTTATTGGCTTAATTTCAACTGATTGGGTTTCAAATAATATATCTTTATAATACTTGAGGGACTTATATGAACTGGGAGGCATATAATGAAATCCAGGAGGAAAATAGTGTTTGGCTATTTCGGCTGGATCAGAATGAACATCATAAATTGGCTCAAGAACAAATAAATGAGAAATGCTTTTAGGCATATAAGGGGATGACTTTTTAAAGGCAACTGAAGGTCCAGCAGGGGAAACACCAAAGAAGGGATCATAACTGGAGATTAGGGTCGACTGATAACTAGGGCGTATTTGGCCAATTGTGGAGCCTAAAGAAGAAAATCTATTGGCAACTGAGATTGGAGTGGCAACTGAGATTGGTGGGTGACCTGGATAAGGCACCACCTGCTTGGGAATATCTGGCTTATTTTGACTCATGGATGGAGGGAGGATTCGGAGCGACTGGGAAGGCGATTGGGAAGACTTAGATTGGCTGGTTGACTCTTTTTGCTTGTCTTTTTTGGGTGCCATTGTGCATCCTGCAAGAATTCTCTAGTAAGAAAATCAGGAATTGAATTCTCACTGCCTCTCAAATATTCAATATCAAAATCAAATATACTTAAAATGCTTTGCCATCGTGCAAAAATCTGTTTAGATGCAATGTTTTGAACATCTTTTTCTAAAACATGCTTTGCAGATTTACAATCTACTCTTATAAAAACTTTTGGTTAAGTAAATCATCTTGGAATTTACTGATGCATAATACAATAGCTAATATTTCTTTTTTAATAGTACTATAATTATATTGCGACTGGGTCCAGATTCCAGAATGAAAACGAACAATTTGTTCTGGAGAATTCGGACAGGCTCTTTGTTTCAGAATGCCACCATAACCTGTGTTAGAGGCATCGGTTTCAACTATTTTGAAGGAATCAACTGAAGGAATGCCAAGGCAGGGAAGTGTCTTGACATGGGTTTTTACTTGTTTGACAATTTCAGTATGAATATTTGATCATGGGGGAGGATTATTCTGTAACCTATCAAACAAGGGCTTACATTGTTTTCTCAGATTTTGGTAAAAGTCAGAAACATAATTCAGAGATCCTAGAAATCTCTGGAGTTGGCTTTTATCAAGAATTTGATCAGGGAATTTATCAGCAAATTGGATGACTCGATCAATTGGGGAGATTTGTGATTGACAGATATTAAAACCAAGGAATCTGATATTGGTTTGGAATAACTTGATTTTCTTGGCAGAAACAACTAAACCATTTTGTTTGACAATTTGCAGGAACTTATGCAAATGTTTCCAATGCTGCTCTATAGACTCAGAGAAGATGAGAACATCATCATATAGACAATTGAAAAATGACTATAAGGATTGAAGATTTCATTCATGATATTCTGGAATTCACTAGGAGCATTTTTCAGACCAAAAGGCATTACATTCCATTCATAATGACCAAAAGGAGTGACAAACGCAGTCTTATACCTATCGGACTCATGTATTTGGATTTGCCAAAAACCACTCTTCATATCAAATTTGGAATAAATAACTGCTTTTTCTAATCTATTAATCAGGTCTCTCTTATTAGGTATGGGGTACCTAATCCATTCTAAGACCGAATTAAGGGGCTTGTAATTGATAACTAATCTTGGGACTCTTCTTTCTAGTTCAGCATTTTTCTGGACATAAAAAGCAGGACACGACCAAGGGGACTTACTTTTGCGAATTATTTTCTTCTCAAGTAATTCATGAATTTCTTTCTTACAAAACTCCATAATTTCTTGACTCATTTGAATTGGCCTGGCTTTAGTAGGAATGTTTTTCTCACTAAAGGTTTTGATATAGGGAAGATAGACAACATGTTGTTTCCTATACCAAAAAGCATTAGGCAAATCAGCACAAATTTCATTTTTTAATTTAGTCTCAAACTGCTGGATTTGCAACTGTAGAGAAGCATCACTAAGCTGTTGTTCAACTCTTTTAAATCTAATCTCTTCTTTAAGAAAGTTCAATTGACTATTTTTCCGAATAATTTGTATTGATTTAGAGACTGACTGTTTCTGTAGGGCTCTCAGATTATGCAACTCTGGTTTAGACAGAAATTCAAACTTAACCTTTTCTCCTAGATAAGTAGAAATGACTCCATCATAGTCTACTTGGAAGGGATATAACAAGGCAATAAAGGGTAATCCTAATATGACTTCATCAGTGATATTTTTAACTAAGACAAATGGGGTTTTGAAACAGATCTTATTTTGGCAAACATGGGCTTTTGGTATTTCAAAGTTCAACTGGAGAGATTTTCCTGAAGCAGTACTTAAGGATTCTCTAGACTTCTGGTAAAACTTAGTAGGAATTAGACCTTCCTGGATACATTTAAGATCGGCTCCTGAATCAAAAAGGGCAACTGTGGTGAATTCAAAATTTTGGACAATTATTGTTACTTTCGAATACCATTTTCTGAAATTAATTTGTCGGATTAGGCTAATAACCTGTTGGTCTTCTGGAGGATCTTCATCAGAATTATGTGGACTTTCAGACTGGCTTTTAGACTCAGAAGACTCTTTTTCCATTAAAAGAACTAGATCTTGTTTGATTGCATAATTCTCACTTTGTAATTTATGACTCATTTGTTTTAATTCAACTATTTCTTTTTTGACCATTTTTACTTCTAATTGTAGGTCTTGTAAAGTGACTTCTTTCTTTTTAGCAAATCTTTCCAAGGTAGTGTTTAAGCTGATTGGTTGGGGGGTAGACTGTCTCGGGCTTTCTTGACTTATAACTTTTCTTAATTTCTTCAGATAATCGGCTTTTAAATCAGGATTTTCAATTTTACTTATTAAATCTATTAATAATTCTTCCTGCTCTTCCTGTTTAGTAAGAACAGAAATAGACTTCAACCTATTACAACATTTATCCGTGCATCCTATTTGAATATTAGGTGAACTTGGCTGTGAATCCGAAGACTGGTCAGATTCAGACTCAGAACTGGCAAAGAGGGTTTCTACATTGCTTGTTTCAGAGTCTCGCAACTCTAATACTTTTATCAATTTTTCCTTATCTTCATCTGCAATTGTCAATTGTTTAATGGTATCTTTTACCTTACATTCAGAAGCATAATGACCGAACTTTTGACATTTGAAACATTTAACTTTGGTTTTATCATTATTCTTTTGGATCGACTCTTCTTTTGTCCTTTTGACCAATTTTTCTTAGGAGAGAATTTCTTTTTCTTGTAAAATTCACGATCATCATTATTGCGTTGGGAGAATTGCTTTCTACGGGAATAATGACGATTTTTTCGAAAATGACTGGACTTATTTTTCTGGAAGGAGGAATGCTAGCAAGACCATATTGCTCGCAGAAATTGCCTAACTCATACTTAGCAGACTTCCTATCAGATTGTATTTGTTTTCCAATTTTAAAATCAATACACATCTTCATTCCTACTTGGTTAATTGTACTTATAATATTTCCATAAGTCAGACTATCCCAATCTATATGACCTTGCTCATTACTTAAGGTTGTGCTTATCTTATGGGCAAATAGGTTTGGAAGACCATTAACAAATTTTTCTTTCCAGAATGGTTGATTACTATCATCTCTAAGCATGACTCTAGAAATGAAAACGTCTTTATACCATCTGAAATCAGATAACTTAGGGCATCTAAGATTGCTCAACTGATCATGTATCCTAGCGGTGGTGTGGCTAGGGGTTCCAATGAAATGCTCAATTATCGTGTAAAGCAAAGTGTTGACTCCGTCCTCTATACCTTGACCTACTTGCTCATCAAATATGGGGAGGCCGTCTTCATTAAGTTTTACAGCATGAATGATCAAATTTTTTGACTCAGGGGTTAAATGCTTATCCCACCAATATCTGAGAGTACCAGTAAATCCGGTGACTAACAGGGGAACAATTTCAGACTGTCTGAAACTGTGATTGGTGATATAACTATTAGCAACCATGGACATATGTTGTAGCTTATTAAAAATTTCTTGCTCAGGAAGACCATCAATGTTCCATTCATACATTTTATCAGAGGAAACCGAGAACTGGGTTTGGAGGTTTCTTTCTTCAAATTGAATGTCTGGGGGTGTTGGCCTTGGGTACCAATTTCTAGTTAAACTGGTAGGGCTTATATGTTTTTCTAATTTTTTGACTCTAGGTTCAACTTGGACTTCTAAGTTTTTGAAGGCATTTTCAATTTTTGAAATGTCACTAATCTCTGAATCTATTGACTCAAGATCAGACTCAGTGGGGTGAGCAAAGGAATCTAGTGTTTTGAGACCAGATTTTTCGGCTTTACTTGGGGTCAATTGTTCTAGCATTTCTTCAATTTTCTTCATTGTAGGTTTGATTTAAGCTTAGGGCTTGACTGAAGATCTTGGAACTGAACTATCGGCTTTTCAACTTTTGTTTTGGACTTAATTTCTGGGGAACTTATCTTATCGATTTTTGTTTCAATTGTATCTAACTGCTTTCCTATGATAATTAGACTCTGGTTGGTATAATTGTTTTGCTCAATTATCCTCTTACTTTCATCGTCGTTTTCAACTATTTTAAAGGGACTGGCAGGTATGAGAGTATTCCTATGGCTGATAACAATGGTTTCAACTGGGGGATGACTAGCTTCAACTTCTGATCTGTCTATCAATTTCCATTTTTCTTTGGTGAGGGTTTTTAATTCACTAGGCATATAACGGCTTTCAATGAAATCAAGGTAGAAAATTTCAACTTTGGCTGACCGCATATAATCTTTCCATTCATTAAAGATTTTTTGTCGGCTTTCACTATCAGGATAGGCTTGGTGATAACTATTTCTTCTAAATTGATTTTCTGGGGCTTTCAGGTGAGAATTTAATCGTTTCCAATTAATCTCAAACTTTCTATTAAGGGTTCTAAGTTGGTTATCAACTGCTGCAAAATTGTCAACTAAGAAATCAGACTGTGTAGGAGACTCAGGTGAATCAGATTTATCTTCTTGGATTGGTGCCTTGCCGTAACAAGGTTGGTTTACCTGAGAGGATTTTCTCAGGGACTCAAGTTTGAAATCAATCATGGCCTTTTCTAACTCTAGGTCTCGTTCTAGAGTGGAAGATGAGGCGGTAAAAGATCGTCTGGCAGGGGCATGTCTCTGGGATTGACCAGGGGTTGGTAACTGTTGCAACTGGACATTAGACTTCTTTAAAGGTTGATTTTCAAATCTAATTTTTACTGTGCCGTCTAAATACTGTTGGATGTAGTCTAAATTGTTTAAAGATCATGTTGCAACTTGCACAATTATTAAAGATTCCCCATCTCCGGAGCCTCATTTTGCAAGACCAAGACTTTAAGATAATCTTCAAGTTCCGAGATCCAGTCAAGCATTATTTTACTATTGCTACGGTACAGAGGTTTTACCATGGTGGCACCTTTGACTTGTGATAGGATTTTTAGTACTTGTGCAAACAAGGTTAAAACCACGTAAAATATTTGCAAGAATACAAGGTTATTATAGTATAGATGTTCATGCAAGGTCGTTTTCCACAAGGACTATTTAGCAATTTATGTGAAAATAATTTCCAATTTATTACCTAAAATTAAAAGTAGAGAAAGATGAATATGAACTTGTGTGATACTAAAAACAAATTTAAACAAAAACAAATACGATTGGAAGAAAGAGTTTTGAATATCAATGTATGAAAGCACTAGGGTTTCACCGTCACCCAGCAATCCTATGAATTTTTACCAATTACTTATGATTGCGCATGCCACTTTGAAGGTTAGGTTTTCCTAATTTATATTCTACTTGGAACCTCCAACATAGAACGTATATCTAACATGCAACTTGTCCGGACGTTCGGATCAAATCTGAACATGAAAGACTCATTAAGTTTTGTGAAAACCCTTTGAAAAACCATGCAACCCTTAAGAGCGTGATGTTCGCCTTAAGTGAACTTACAATTATTAATCACAAGAAGCTAGCATCAATTTCAGGGAACCTTCCGACCAAAATTGCATTTAATTACTTTTCTAAAGATCCTAATGGTGATCAGGCATTAAGACAATTAGATAGTTTAAAACAGTGATTAACAATTCAAAGTATGCATGCACTCAATCATAAGCAATTAAATAAAATCACATATTCATGCTAAGGTTCAAGGCTTCACCCTAGCAAAAGAGAATTAGTTACACATAATCATAATTGAAATCCAAGAAAATATCATTCGAATGAATAAGAATGAAAACACCTGAAAGTAGCGAAAATCCAAATCCCTAGCAATTGCTCCCAAAGCCAAAAGAAGTCAAAAGGGAGTCCTTCAAATTTCTGTGAAAAGGAGCTTAAATACCTCCTAAAACCTAGCTACCCAATCCCCACAAGGAAACTAAGTTAAAATAAAAAAAGACTAGGAAATAAAGTCCAAATTGGATTAGGAGAATCTGCCCACAATCTGCCCAGCCATGTTTTGGTCTCAAATCTCCTCCAAATCTGGCCAAGATAGCTCATTTTAAAGATAAAAATATTCCAAACACTTCTCCAGAAGGCCATGAACCCATCCGAGGTCATCCTGGGCTCCAAAAATGCAATACAAACCCAAAACGTCACTATTCCAACACTGCGCATCGCTCCTTCATTTATTCACCAGGAAATCATCGCTTGGTGGAAAAGTCTGATATTTTGATACGATCAAACTAAGTGACTCACGTACGTCCTCCAACTAGAATTACTCCAAAATTTGTCCATTTGATTATGTTTTGCTCCAGAGGAAGTCGAAATACCTATATTGGAAATATAATTCAAAATATCAAAATTCTTCCATAATATTAACCAAAATATACTAAGAATAAAATTAAATATATAATATAAAATCGACTCATGAACTTGATTTGTTCATTGCTCGATCTTTGTATGTAACGGGCAGAGCCCAAAACAAAGTCAAACAACTTCAACACTTATTTTCTTTTCTCACACGCTTTTCTTCACCGAGAATACAACATATTATCCAAACACAAGAGCAAATAAAATAGATATTGAACTTTCAGTTGTATTATAGGATGCCGAACACATACATGGCATGGAAAATGCATACAAGCTTCTTAGAAGTTACAACATTACGAAAGTTATACATTAACACTTACACGTACCATCAAGAAGTTATGTCCATGATTTCACTTTCCTATCAAATATTCCTCTTCCAAATAGAAGAATTTATGCCCTTGATTTCACTTTCCTGTCAAATATTCCTCGTCCATAAGTAGAAATGTACATCTCAACTAGAAGAGGAAATTGCATCCAAATAAATAAGGTGACTGGAACACTAGCAACGAAATCATTGGAATAACAATCCACGATTGTTCATGGATCATAATGAAAAGGGCAGAAGAAAAGGCAACCATCATGGTGGCAATAGAGATGAATAAGGTGGAAAGGCCTATTATCATCTTTGTTGGTAAGGATTTAAGGAAATCATCTTCCGCATAACGTGATGTAAGGATTCCCAAAAACATCAACACCGAAGTTGTGGAAGAAAAGAGGGAAACAGCATCTGAAACTATAAAAGCCATAAACAACTTTTTATGCAGGAATATTGGGAAGCCTGTTTGTCCATTGTTTCCACCGGGAATTGTGAATGCTACAGCAAACATGATGGTAATAATGAGAGCGCCTACAACTGTACATGAAGATGCAGTTTCTTTCATCCATCTTTCTCCTTCCTTCGCCAATTGGTTGTGATTCTTGGTAAACATCTCACGTGGCATCTTATGCTCCTTATTTAAAGATTCTTTAACCAAGGGTACTACAATATTCTCGACCTCCTACATTTTGTTGAACAAAAGATTCATATGAGTATAAGAGGTTATTATTCTAATTTTCCAACTAACCCTTGAATTTTTTAAATTTGATAGGCCATATAACCTAAACCATTAGAGAACAGAGAAGACAACGTTGATGATTAGAGAGTACTACCTTTATTTCTATTTTTCTTGTCATTCTACATTTTTAGTTTCTATAGGCTAGTTTAACTCCTTCTATGTTGCATTTGAACTCCTTCTATGTTGCATTGGTTTTCGACTAGAAAATGCGTTCGATGCTCCTTTAAATTAAGTAAATTGAAACATTAGTTTTCAATATTGGAATGAATAAATTTAACTCTGCTGACGACTTTTTACACTTTTTTGTAACTAAAAACGAACCCACAATACAGGAAATGACTCATTTTAGCCTCAACAATTTATGTTAGAAACTAATTCCCACAATTTCCAAACAAAAACAAACACTGAATTATATGTTCTGACCTTGAACCATTGTAGTTCTCTCTGCATTTTCAAAGCTGCACCTGAGATTTTATCGAGCCTTGCTAATGGTGAAAACATCCCTGCCACATGTAGCGCGCAATTGTTATCCCGATCTGCAATATTTCCAATCGCAGTTCTTTGTCTTTTACTGAGTTTAGAATAAAAAAGGTTATAAACTTTTTCTTGACGACATTCAATGGCAAACTGAAAGAGGTTCCTTCCCATTGAATTACACGCCCGCACGAGATTTGGTCTTGCTTGCAATACACGGTCAATAATCTCAAACATTCCTAGCTCGGTAGCTCGGAAAACTGCCGGAATGAGAAAGTCTTCGCTATCTGAATGTTTTGTCACTTCACACATATTATCTAGGAGTTCAAGGGCTTCAATATGGGCCAATTTCATTTCTCGTAGGCGTTTGATTCCTAAGTTGGCATTGGAAAAACATGTTATACAACTAATTCCAGAAAGAAAAAAAACTTTTAAAATAATAATGGAGAACAAAGGAAAAATGGAAACAATGTAGCATACCCAAAATTTCAAGGAGATTTGTGTTCAGACCTTGCAAGAAACCTAGCACTGCAATGGAAATTCAAAATCCAAACACATGATGGGGATAGCTGTATATATCTCTGTTAATTAGATGACAAAATGGGTGCAGAGAAACGTTCAGATAGTAATAGAATCGTTCTTGAAGCAGAAGCTAAGTTTCGTCAACTTTCTCCAATTTCTAATCCCTTTTTTAAATCTAATTCTAAGCAATGAATGAGTAATGGTCGACCGACAAATGTTTTAAAAATTTTGCCTACTGTTAGTGCGAGTCCACTAGACAAGAATTCTATAGTGAGGGTTTTTTTTTTTTTTTTTTTTTTTTTTTTTTTTTTTTTTTTTTTTTTTTTTTTTTTTTTTTTTTTTTTTTTTTTTTTTTTTTTTTTTTTTTTTTTTTTTTTTTTTTTTTTTTTTTTTTTTTTTTTTTTTTTTTTTTTTTTTTTTTTTTTTTTTTTTTTTTTTTTTTTTTTTTTTTTTTTTTTTTTTTTTTTTTTTTTTTTTTTTTTTTTTTTTTTTTTTT